ACCCCCTCCCCACCCCCAGAATAAGCACAGGTACACACGTGCGTTCTCCCTCTCTTGTGCTTGCTCTCAAATAAATAAATAAAATCCAAAAAAAAAAAAAAAAAGAAAGTGAATTACTACTGATTTTCCAGAAATAAGAATGTAAGTATAAAAGAATACTACAAGCAATAGTAATCCAACAAATTGAATAGCCCGGAAGAAATGAATAATTAGAAACACATAAACTACCAAACTGATTCAAGAAGACACAGAAAATCTGAATAGGCCTATGATGATTAAAGGTATTGATCAGTAATCAAAAACCTCACAATAAAGAAGAGTCCAGCACAAGATGACTTCACCGATAAATTCTGCCAAACATGAGAAAAACTGAATCCTTCTCAAACTCTCCCAAGAGATAGAAGAGAACATTTCCAAACCTGTTTTATGAGCCAGCATTACCCTAATACCAAAGCCAAAGACATCACAAGTACAGACCAGTATTTCTAAAAAATACACATGCAAAAATCTTCAACAGAATCTAGGGAAATTTAATCCAGCAACATATTAAAAGGGTTATATACTATGACTTAATGGAATTTACCCCAGGAAGACAAAGATAGTTCAATGTACAAATAATAAATAATAAAATACACATTAAAAGAATGAAGGGGAAAAAAAACCAAACATGTGATCCTGTCAACTGATGCAGAAAAAGCATTTAACAGAACCCAACACTCTTTCATAATATCAACAAACTAGGAATAGGAGCAAACTACCTCAACATGATAAAGAACATTTATGAAAAATCTGCAGCTAACAACATATTCAATGGTGAGAGTGAAAGCTTTTACTCAAGATCAGAAACAAGATGAAGATACCTGCTTTTGCCCTGCTATGCAACACTGTACTAAAAGCTCTAGCCAGAGCAATTAGACAAGAAAAAGAAATAAAGGCATCCAAATTAGAAAGCAATAACTGAAACTGTTACTATTCACAGATGACATGATCTTATATAAAGAAAATCCACAACAAAATCCCACTAGTGCTAATAAATGAATTCAACAAAGGTGCAGGCTACAAGATTAAAACACAAAAACCAACTGTATGGCTATACACTATCAATGAACAAGTCAAAAAAAATTTCATCTAAAATAGCATCAAAAGAATAAAACACTTAGGAATAAATGTAACCAATTCTGTACTCTGAAAACTAATTTATATGGAATTGCAAGGAGCCCTGAATAGCTAAAACAATCTTTTTTAAAAAAGATTTATTTATTTGAGGAGTGCCTGGGTGGCTCAGTTGTTAAGTGTCTGACTTAGGCTCAGGTCATGATCCCAGGGTCCTGGGATCTAGCCCCGCATTGGGCTCCCTGCTCAGCAGGAAGCCTGCTTCTCCCTCTCCCACTCCCCTTGCTTGTGTTCCCTCTCTCGCTGGCTCTCTCTCTGTCAACTAAATAAAATTCTTTAAAAAAAAAAAAAAAGATTTATTTGAGAGAGAGAGAGAGCATGCATGAGCAGGGGGAGGGGCAGAAGGAGTGGGTGAGGAAGACAGAGGGAGAGAGAATCTCAAGCAGACTCTCACTGAGCACGGAGCCAATGCGGGGCTCAATCTCACAACCCATGAGATCATGACCTGAGCTGAAATCAAGAGTCAGACACTTAAGTGACTGAGCCACCCAGGCACCCCAATAGCTAAAACAATCTTGACCAAAAAAAGAAAACTGAAGGACTCACACGTTCTGATTTCAAAATTTACCACAAAGTTACTGTAATCAAAACAATATTGTACCATTCAATGAGGAAAGAATACTCTCTTCAATAAATTATGCTGTGATAAGCAAATGCCCTCACATCATTTAAAAAAATTAACCCAAAATGCATCAAAGATGCAAATGTAAGAGCTAAGACTATAAGACTCTTTGAAGAAAACATAAGGGCAAATATTCATGACCTTAGATTTGGCAATGGTTTCTCACATACAACACCAAAAGCATAAGCAACAAAAGGAAAAATATATATAAATTGGATTTCATCAAAATTAAAAACTTTTGTGACTCAATGGACACTATCAAGAGTGAAGACAGCCCAGAAAATGCAAAAAAAAAATTGTAAATCATTAATCTGATAAGAACATATTCAGAATATATGAAGAATTCTTACAACACAGCAACAAAAAACAAGTAACTGAATTAAAAATTATTCAAAGGACTTAATAGACATTTCTCCAAAGAAGATAGAGCTATAGTCAACAAACCCATGAAAAGATGTTCAATGCAAATCAAAGCAAAATGGGATACCACCTCACACCTACAAGGGTGGCTTAAATCAGAGTAACATAACAAGTGCTGGTGAGAATGTGGAAAAATTGAAACTCTCATACATTGCTGGTGGGAATGTAAAATGGTGCTGCTGCTATGGAAAATAGTTTGGTGATTCCTAAAAAGTTAAAGATAGAGTTGCATACAACCCAGCAATTCTTTTCATAGGGATATACCTAAAAAGAATTAAAAAGTACTGTTCCAACAAAATCTTGTACTTGAATGTTCAGAGGAATACTATTTAATCAAGAGGTGGAAAATAAATGACCATCAACTGATGACTGGGTGAACAAAATGTGGTACATCCATACAACAGAATGTTATTCAGCCATAAAAATAATGAAGTACTCATACATGTTATAATATGGATGAACCTTGAAAACAATATGCTAAGTGAAAGAAGCCAGATACAAAAGGTCACACAATGTATGATTCCATTTATATGAAATATCCAAAATAGACAAATCCATTGATAGCAGATTAGTGGTTTCCAAGAGCTGGGGCTAAGAGGAAATGGGACATGACATCTTAATACGTATTGGGGTTTCTGTTTGGAGTGTTAAAAGTTCTGGAACTAGATAGTGGTAATAGGTACAAAACACTGTTTAATGCCAGTGAATTGTACATTTTAAAATAGTTAAAATGATAAATTTTATATGTATGTATATTTTACCATATACAAAAAAAATCTGTTCTACAGGTTTTCCTATAGTCTTTGAAGGCTCCTAAAACCATAACTCATTTAGAAATAAAATAATTACATTGACTTTCTATATCAGGGGTTGAGAAACTTTTTCAGTAAATATTTTAGGCTTTGTAGGCCTTTCTCTGTAGCAACTATTCAACTCTGCTGATGCAGCAAGAAAGCAACCATAGACATTAAGTGAGCAAATGGGAGTGACTGTGTTCCAATAAAAATTTACAAAACAGGAAGCAGGCCAGATTTGACCTGAGGCCTGTAGTTGGCCAAGCTGTGTTGTATACTATTCTTTATCTGTATTAATGAGGTTATTATATAAATTAAAGTCAAATTAAATTAAAACAACAAATGTGTCAGTATATGAAATCGACAGTAAAAGATTTACATTTGCTGAGAGATTTACGTTTACTGCAGTTATGTTTACTGAGAATCAAATGAAGTAGAATAAAACAAGTTAAAACTCCACTCAAACAGAATTGCTAAACCATACATTAATAGAAATTTTACATTTACTTAAGCAATAACTAAAATGTGAATTTCAATGTGAACAACAGATAATCCATAATCTTAATCTTAATAAAAGCCAATATCTTTCTCCTTTTGCCCAACTAAAGTGAGAGCAACTGGTAGCTAAGTTGACATAATTTCTTTTTTACTACTTTTCTCAATTTGTTAATGAAACTTTCAAATTTTCTAACTTTTTAAGCCTACTCATTTTCTGAAATTTATTATATTTGTAACTAGCACAACATAGCTGAGTACTTTTTCTCCATTACAGCTTTATTTTTTAGTTTGGTTTCTTTGGTCATGATTAAAACTCCTTAGAACATTTAAAGGAATTAGAACTAATAAATGCTTACTTACTACTTCAGAAACCATTACCAACTTGAGATATTAACAAATAAGAAAATGAGACAGAGAGCACAAGTAAAAAGAAACAAAGTGCTCAGTTAATCTATGAACCATATAATCAGGCCAGAAAAATCTCAAATTGAAAATTTAAGAGATACTTTTAATAGTATGAATTTCAAAATAACTCTGAACTCTAAATCAGTATTTTCTTTTACAGCTCAGCTAAATTTTCAAATACTGTGGAACATTAACTTTGAATAAACCCAAAGTTAATGACATTATAGCAAGTGGTTCAGTGGCCTGCACATAGTTAAGTATTCAATGTTAGTTGAGTGAAATGCTGTGAAATCACTTGGTCCATGGAAAGTTACTCTCTCTAAAAGAATAAAATATCTTTTGCAAACTCGTAACTAAAAATTTATTCTTCCTTTCAATTCTTCAGCTTGAAGAGAATGGCTAATAGCGTAGAAATGATAAAATTTTCCTTTTAACCATTTCCTCAATTAGTTTTTTCTTTTTCACTACTTGCCAGTAGCATCTAGTCTAAAAAAAAAGTCCTCTTAGTGAATGTTAACAAAGATGAATAAAGGAAATCTACCTTTCAAATAATTTTACGTATTTTCTGTAAAGGTCCTTACATTATAGGGTAACTGCTTTTTTAAAAAGTGTGTAATGTATTTGAAAAAGAAACTACTAGATAAATCATTTAATTATAATTCCAAAAGAAAAATGTCTTATGATCTTTGTTCTCTGAACATTTCAACATCAAATATAAAAACCTGATATCCTAAATATATCATCTGTTCATGTACTAAAGATTCCCTTCTTCAGCAAAACTTAAATTTTTATTGTACTAAAAACTACTACATATCCTTATTTTGTAGAATTATTATTTCAGCACAGTAAGCATCAAGTACACAATAAAGACTGTTACGTATAACTTAAGAAAATATAAAAGAAACGATAAAATTGGAATTTTTTTGTTCGCTTTACCTACCTTTAAGTTATTGCTTTTGGAGATACAGCTAAACATACCCCAAATTTAAAAGCACCACTGAAGAACATAATTGTGTATGTAGAATTACAGTGTAGAATATATAGTTTTCTTCTCTAAAACTAGTATTAATTTGTGATAAAGTACTTACTCTAAAAGAGGTGGAAGTATTTCACAATTCAAAACAAAATCTCTGCATTCTGCATTGTCACCAGCAATATTACCAAGTGCCCAAACAGCCTTAGAAAAATGAGAAAAAAATATTCTGTTACAATATCTTAAATAAGATGCTCTCTCTTAAGAATGAGATTTTAGTACAAAATGAACAAAGTAATAGTTTCCAAGATGTTAAAAAAAAAAAATGCTAGTAGGACAGTAAAGAAAGTTTAAAAGTACCATTTACTAATATTTTTAACCAACTGAAGGATAGGGCATTAAAATTTCTTCATTACATACTAGTGAAATGTTTATTCTGTTCAACAAAGAGATAGTCTGTCTACTCTGAATCTACATGGAAAGACAAAATACATCAATCTAGTGAATTTTGCAATTATCTATTCTAGAGGTTTGCTCCTATGCCAAGTAATCCACTCACTGGGAAGGGACTCATTTGTAAAAGAAGGGAAGGAGAAACAAAATACAGGAAAGTGAAGTAAAGCTACTACAAGAATTAGCTTTGATTGATCTCTGAAAATAAGTTTAGAATCAGTCCAGGTTCATTATAATTTTTTAAATAATTTAGGTAAAATATCGAATTACTCACTTACTAAATTTCAATTAAATGACAAGTTATGCAAAATATCATTTCATTATATGCTCACTTCAAATTTTTCAAGTAAGTGCAAAAGTAGACATAAGTTACTTTTTCAATTGGGAAAATTTTAACATTTAAAACATGAGTTAATAGGGGCGCCCGGGTGGCTCAGTCGGTTAAGGCTCAGACAGTTCACTCGGCTCAGGTCATGATCTCAGGGTCCTGGGATTGAGCCCCGCATCAGGCTCCCTGCTCAGTGCAGAGCCTGCTTCTCCCTGTCCCTCTGCCTGCCTCTCTGCTACTTTGCTCACTCTCTCTCTGTCAAATAAATAAAATCTTAAAAAAAAAAAATTTTGTTAAAATTTTTAACATATTTTTAATCTAGGCCTAAGTTTATTTTCTATCTTTTAAGAAAAATCTTTTACAAGACAGGCGCCTTAACCAACTATGCCATAGAGCCACCTTAAGGAAAGTCTTTTTAAGTAATGACATTTCTCACCCTGTGAAGTCTAACATTCTGTTGGTGGGGAAATTAGTATGTATAACTTCTTTGGAGGTCAACTTTGAAATACATAATAAGAACTTGAAAAATTTTTCTTTTACCAGGGTTAAAGTCATTTTTCCTAATGAAATAATCAAGACACACATACAGATTGATAATGATGTTCTTTGTAATATTAATAAGCTAGAAATAACTCTAATATATAATTGAGGAATATATAAAAAATTATGGTTCATACCTGGCTAGATAATGAGTAATCAGTAAAATTTTCTTAGAAGAATAAATAATGCCATTAGAAAAGGCTCCCAATATCAATTAAGTGGGGGGAAAAAAACTCCGTGTATATATATATATAAAACTAAAACAGATGAATGTATATATATAAAATATATATAAAACTAAACAGATGAATGGAATGGTAGATCAACAGATCAATTTGCCATAAAAATAGTTCAAAACAAAAATACCAAAACATTTTATTTTATTTCATTCGTATAAAGTATATGTGATTACATTTTCCCTATGAGAATTTATGTCTATTTAAAAACAGTTGCATTGAAAATAATGTGATATTTTAAAAAGAAACAACAAAATAATCTATGCACATGCAAAGAAAAAGGAGTCAGACCAGCCCAGGTTTAAAACTTGGTTCAGCCATTCACTGTGACTTTGGGTAAATTACTAACTTTCTGAGTCTCAGTATGCTCTTTTATATGTAGGAATAGTAATTTCTGATACCTGAGATCACACTTACAGAGAACCCAGGATTATGCCTGAGACAGTTCATTCTGGCTTCCTTCTAATTTGACACTGAAGAGAAATTACTACATTTTAACAAATGCAATGCACATGCAACTCTGAAGAGAACATTAAAATCTAGTAAACATAACCATTCAAATTAGAAACATACCTGCTCTTGCACATCTTCATGCTCTGAATTAAGAAGTTTGATAAAAATTGGAACAGCCCCAGTTTCAATCACTACCTTGGTATGCAGAAAAGTTCCAGATGCTATATTAGTTAATGCCCATGCAGCTTCAAACTAAGGAAAAACAGAAGCAGAATAAATGAAAGCACCAACGAATTGTCAGAAAGAAAGGGAAGAAGAGAGGGAGTAAGGAGTTAGCGGGACAAGCCTGAAAGAGTGATTTATGATTAATAAGATTAATCAGATTTCATAAATAAAACCCCTTAGTTTTAAAAAAGGACTCAATTTGGAAAAATAAAAACTGAGAAGAATATAATGAAAATTTTCAAAATCTTGAACAATAAATGAACATATCTGAAATTATATTTCCCAGAACTCCTAATGCTTACTATTTAGTGAGCCAGGTGTCCTAAAGCAAGCAGTTTAAAAATAAATGAGACACTACTAATAGAGCAATAGTACATTTATGAACTTAGAATCGTAAAAGGTACTTTTGTTTCCTTAGGGATGGATCATCTAGTTCCAACCTCCTCATTTAAGAAATTAAGAAAATTAGAAGGCCAGAGACTTAGATGATTTGTTCGAAGTCAAAAAGTTCACTATTAGCAAAGCCACAGGCAGGACTTGTATTCCTGTAAGCAGCAGAACCTCTGAAAAGCCACTCATGTCAATCTACTTAAATTTGGATATACTTAAATGTGATGGATTTGTAACAGAAGAAACAGAAAATGCAACCCATGGCTCCCAAACAATAAACTAGCGAATAACTGAAAATGATCTACAAATCCACAGGCAAACTAAAGAGTGACTATAACTTTAAAAATATTTGACATAGGGGGCCTGGGTGGGTCAGTCGGTTAAGCGACTGCCTTCGGCTCAGGTCATGATCCTGGAGTCCCGGGATGAGGTCCCGCATCGGGCTCCCTGCTCAGCGGGGAGTCTGCTTCTCCCTCTGACCCTCCTCCCTCTCGTGCTCTCTGTCTCTCATTCTCTCTCTCGCAAATAAATAAATAAAATCTTAAAAAAAAAAAATTTGACATAGACAACTCTTCACATGAAAGGTACATATCACTATGATTAATAATATAAAAACACATCCAAAACCATTACTGAAAGGCATGAAAAGTAGTTCTTATGTGTAAGACTAAATTTTTAAGGGAGGAATTTATGTTAAAAAAAAAAAAAGACCATAGTACTAACCAATTATAAAGAAACAAACTAAAGAAGAATTAAAAGTTTACTCCATAAAATTCTCCTAGGTATCCCCAGGAGAAAGCATTAAAGAAAAGTGGTGAATTCACAAGCTGACAAAACAGATAATTATGAATAAAAGGAGTGATATGAGTAAGTGGGGAATTGCAGCAAACTAGAGAGCATGACTATGATTTTTCTAAAAAAAAGGGAAAAAATGGAAGTAACTTTCTAAAGTGGGGGGGGGGGGGGGCGAGGCACAACTATTCAGCCCCACTAGACCTTTACTGTGTGGCAGCAATGCCAACTCTTCTGATTTGTCAAAAGGCGGCAAAAATCTGGATTTTCATATGAAATTCTCCAATATTTTAAAGGCCAATATCTAATTCACATTTTTAAAACATATTCAGGACAAACAAAACTCGTTTGTAGGCCAATATGGCTGGTAGGCCATCCGTTGGGAGATCTCTTCGACAGACCAATAATCTGAACTAACATATTTTATATGAATGTGGGTAGTATGGCAAAGCTATAGCTATCCCAAGACCATACTGTTGAATTTCATTAAGTTTTAACTTCAGTGATTAATAAATGCCAAAGTCCCCAACGTTCTTCTTGAATACTCTATGCTTTTTGCACATGCTGTTCTCACAACAATTAATTTTCCTCTTTTCAGGTTCATCCAGAAAAGGTTCATCCTCATGACTAGCCACACAATACTACATTTGTGAAGTTGTCTTCAACTTCCCCTACACAGATGAGTTATTACACTGTGCTCCTAAAGCACTTTGTTTATAGTTCTGTTATAGCACTAAGCATACTACGGCATCACAGATCTGTTTACATGTTTGTCTTTCCCAACAAAGAGTGAAGACTGTCTGCAAAGGAAAATATTTTAATTTTGTAATACAATGCCTTTACACACAATATATGGCTAAAACTAACACTCAATTTTATTTATTCATATTTACTCATTTCCACTTTCATTCATTTAGAATTAAAAAGCCAAATAATAAACTAAATATCAGGAGACCTGGGTTTTAGTCTGGACTTGGGGCTTAAATATGAAGCAAATGGACTAGAAGTCATGACCTCTAGCCCTTACTGAGCTAACACCTAAAGACTTTGAAAACTAATGGACAGTATCATTATATATAACATAAAGTGGCTTTTTCCTCAGACATCCTTATTGTAAACACTCTCAAAATTTTTCAGCATAAAAATCATGATAAGTAATATTCATGTGTGCAACACATTCCTTTGCTTATCATCTAAAATGTGAGGAGCTTTCCCAAATTACTCAGATCAGTGGAACACTATTCTAAGTTGTAATTTCAACAACTATTATTCAAATACCAGTAACAATCTTCCATTAATGACAACAGCACTGATAAACTATGTGCAGGTCTTGTGCAATTCCTGATAGATGTAATTCCACACTGTATTCCTACTTAAGAATATATATAGCAATGAAATCAGGAAAGCAATCTTTCTTTAAAAAACAATAAATATTTGCAAACTTCAGTAATGTACTGTTAGCAGCCAATTACTTGGAAGACATAACTGACACTACAATATAACTGAGAAGTAATGCTCATTTGGACAAATCTAACTTTGGTCACATTTTATTGACCAAATTTAGTAGATTTTATTGATTTCGTTTTTTTGGGTTTTTTGGTTTTTGGTTTTTTCCAAAAAAAGAACTAATCAGACTAATGTCTTAAAAGGTAAAAGAGTTTATATTAAAAAGTTACAACTCTAATTAACTAAGAGCCAAAAAAAATTTACCCATTAATATTTTAATTTGAGGTTTTCTGAAACGAAAAAGTTATTAAAGGTTGGCAACTACAAAATTTTTATTAACATTACGAATGACTTTATATAGCTTTCCCAAAATTGTTTTAATGAAGTAACAGTCCCTAGAAAAAACTAGCATTGCAAACATGACTAAGGCAAGACAGGTGGCACTACCTTTTCCTTTAATTGCCAAGTATTTCCTGAATGTTTACAATATATTTAGTATTGCAGAAGTTCACTAGAAACTTTAATCATATGTTATTTCTGGAAAGAGATTAAGAAAAAACTTTAGAACTCACCTGTAAAGTACAATTTTCATTTCTTTCAAGAAATTTCACAAATCTCTGTACAACTCCTGGTTTCTGTATAACCTGATCAATTGGTGGATTAGGTTCTAAAAATTAAAAAAGAATTAAGTTATTACATACACAAAAAGACAATAACCTGGTCCCTGTGTCAATTAACAGGATGCACAAAATAACTCTTTCCTAGGTTTCAATGACCAAGTTTAAAAGACTTAGGTGGATTTAACTGAAGTAAACAAATGTTCTCATAATTGCAATGTTTACTGAAAAGCAAATTCTTTTTCATTAATCACAGTAAGAAAAATTTTAAAATATTTTCTACACAAATATTTAAATACTGTAAGTTGAAGGCTATTTAGACTGTCATCTTCACAACATGGAGTATTTCAGCCTAATACTCAAAACACCAACTGACAGATAATCTTCCCCCTAATCTTTTATTAGTATACCCCACTTTCTCAGGGATGTCTCCTTACCTATCAGCCATTACCTAATGCTTCTCAGCCAAATGATATTCTATTCTGTCAGGGTATCATTCTATTCTGTCGGGGTATCATTCATTATTCACAGAAATACTACTGAACTATATAGGATTCTTCATAAATTGTCATGAAATGCAGAGGGCTTTTGAGAATCATAAAATCTCTAGGAAATTTTAAAACAAAGATATGCAAAATTAAAACCAAGATATTTCAGCTACTGGCAATCTAAGTATCTATCAACAACTCTTCCTTCTCTCTTGGCTTCAACAAAAAGTATGCTCCTGTGGTTCTCCAGGAACTTCTCTGTTAGTATTCCCTATTTATATAACAAAAAGGATAAAAAAAGACTTCTTTTAGGGTTCCCTGGCTGGCTCAGTCAGTACAGCATGTGACTCCTGATCTCAGGGTTGTGAGTTAAGCCCCACACTGGGCACTGGAGCCTACTTTAAATAAATAAATAAACTTTATAAAAAAATAGGCCTTACTTACAAGTGTATTTTAAAGAAAAATTAAGACCTACTGACTTACTGACAATGAAAGTGTCTTAAAATAAAAAATATCTAATAAATAAAACTCTATTACAGAACCTTTTAATATCAAATAAGCAAGCATATTGAAAATAATTCTTGCCTTTAGAAAGCAGCTTTCTAAATTTCTGTGTTGCTGTTAGCTGCTGATCAGCATTGTTAGAAAAAATCATCTGAACCATATCTGAGGTGATAACTTCTTCCTAAAACATAGAAAATACAACTTATCATTTAAATATTTTACATGAATAATTGTTGCTATACCTCCTAGTTCTGAAACATTGTTTAAGTATAATTTGAAATACATTTTTGTATATCTACCTCCGGAATGGGCACAGTGGAACTGATATCCGGATCCTGGATAGGACTTTCTAGCATAGATTCATCATTTCTGGGCAAAGAGACATTTCTGCGTTTGAACAACTGTAATAAAGAGAAATCACTTTATACACTGGGCTTTCCATAAAACACTGAATTCCCATAGACTTATATTTTTCATTTAAGTGAACAAAACAAACTGATCATTTAAAATTCTAAATATTTAGCATTTCTCAATGACTATACCATGAAGACCTAAATTATCTTTGAGAAGTTAAACTCTCCTGGTTTGGTTAGCTCTTACCTGCAGATTGCTTTGGGTCATTCTTAATCTCAGATCTTTAACAATGGCTGGTCCCATAAGTGGAGTACACATTTACATTTTATAGCATTTGAAAAAGCACATATGTTCACACTGGTATATGAGAAGTCTAAGAATTTTTCTAAGAAAATCTTAATAAAAAAGCAAATTAGTTACATGGGAGAAATACTGTGGTATATTAATAAACACATATCAGATTAATAAGGAATAGAAAACTCTGAGGAAATATGGCCCTATCCGTTTTATTTCAGTAATGAATAAAAATTAAAAAAAAGAAAGAGAGGAGGAATGAGGCACAGTGAGGTCACTGAGTGGGATTTATGGATACATTTCCTATATCAAAATAGAGAAGAAAAAAATCTGGTATATTCCTTTTGATCGCTAAAGAAATACTGCTCTTCTTCAACCAGTATACAGTTCTTTCTAATCATTCATTCAACAGATTTTTTTTTTTTTGAGTCCCTACTATAATAAAGTAGGGACTGTGCTAGATACTGTAGATAGGGAGATGACGAATCATATTTCTAAAACAGGCCCTTCTCTACTTTCATCACTGCTAGTTCTTTCTACACATCAGTTTTTAATTCATGCACGTGAGGACTACACCCTCTTAATTATAAATACTTCTAAATTTAAGTATATCTTGGAATGAAAAATATTGAGATGCACTCTTTGAACTGTTTTTCTATTCCTTATGTCACATATATAAAGTTCAAAACAGAGAAGGCTAAGAGAGCTAGATGGCTGATGAGACTATAGAAGGAATAGTATGAGTAGCATAGGAAGAGGACTAATTAACTTCGGAGCAAGAACTATGAAAACCACAAAGCAACAAATGAATACAATGTTTTTGGCGGGGGGGGCAAATTTTACAAGGACAAATGGAAGTGATCTACATAGGCTCAATAGTAAAAATTTCTTAACACTGGGATAAAATATGATTAACATAAAGGTTTATCAATAAAAAAGAAAAGCTGTTCTCTTCAGTGATTAAAAATAGCACAGGATTCTGATTCATGAATTACTCCTGGAGTCTAGTAAATTAAAGAACAGATTTATTTATATTCAATTTTCTAAAAATACTTTTTCATTTTAAATTATCTAAAAATAAACAATAATAATGTAACTTCTAAAATCTATATATTGGGGCGCCTAGGTGGCTCAGTTGGTTAAGCGACTGCCTTCGGCTCAGGTTATGATCCTGGAGTCCCGGGATCGAGTACCGCATCGGGCTCCCTGCTCAGCGGGGAGCCTGCTTCTCCCTCTGACCCTCCTCCCTCTCATGCTCTCTGTCTCTCATTCTCTCTCTCTCAAATAAATAAATAAAATCTTTAAAAAAAATAAAAAATAAAAAAATAATACAATCTATATATTGATGCTTCTGTGTTAAACATTTAAATATTTTAAAACACCTACCTGCTCTTCCCTTTTTTGTTTTCGAAGCTGTATTCCTTCTTCTTCTCTTCGTCTACGCATCTCTTGGGGATTTAGGGCTTTATTCTTGTAACTTTTCATTCTATAGTTATCTTTCCCTGGGCTAGCCATGGCATCTTAAGGTTAGGAAAGAAAAAAACAGATACTGATATTCTCAAAACAACATGAGATGTTTACTAGGAAAATTAAGTTCATGCTTACTACTTAAATAGACTGACAAAATCAATTCTGAAAATTATGTACAAAGAATACATTTCCCTCATTCCCATATCAAAATTGGAGCAAAGTGACCAAATATTTTTGGACTAAACTATCAAACAAATAATAGATTTTGGTCTAAACACAGATAAAGTCATTACCCTAACTTCACTGATTTTAAGATGCACTCCCCAATGCCTGGTGTTTTAACCTTTCTGAAGTGGGATGCATCTTAAAATCACTGTCAGCCAGGATATAATCAATCATGAAATAGGTGGGTAAAAAACTTCTACAGCTCCTGGCAAGATCAAAAGATAGCCAGAGTGAAGTATCTTATTTTCAATGGAATATGATCTTAGGCTTCAATAAGCATCCCTCAAATATTTTGGGGGGCCTGGCTTCTTTAATTTACTTAAGGTGCTGTCTTCAGACCTAAGGCTGCATAGGTCATGACTTCAGTCATGACTGCAAAAATAATCTGCAATACTAGGGTATATTTCTTTTTAAATACTGAAATACCTGTATACTTTATTTTAAGTAATTTTATTATAAATGTATTTGAAAACATTAACATTTATATAAACATATTCTTATAAGTATATTTATAATATTTTATATAACATTTTACATTTAAAATAATAAGACAATTTTACTTTTAGAAACCAGAGAGAATGTTGTGATCAATTAACACTTAGGAAGTAAACAGAAGAAAAGGAAAGGCTGGCATTTATCTGCCATCTCTGATGTCGAAGATAGACTACTGAACTCGTAAATTATACTCTAAATAGTAAAGTACACTAAAACATATGCATTAAATCCTGAGAGAGCATAGAAGAAATAGCAACTAACTGTGCCTTAGGGAGCTCTGATGGTTATCTTAAAAGAGCAAGAATTTGTCAGGGAAGAGGATGCAAAGGGAAAATCGGGAAGGAAGAAGCATTTCAAGCAGAGGGAATATATGCAAAGGCAAAGGGTTCTTGCAGAAGACTGGCATAAACACAAAACAGTAAGAGATTAAGCGTGCCTAAACGAGATTTGTGGGAGAAAAGGCAGGAAGTAAAGCTAGAAAGGTAACTAAGAACACATATGGTTCCTGCAATCAGGTTGAGAAATTTGGATTTGGTCCTAAGTAACAATTAAAAAAATTGAAAAGAACATTGTTTCAAACTTTGATGATGAAGACCTGAACTAAATTAGCAGCTGCACCGCGACTGGTTGATTTCTGAAACACTGCAGAAATTGATTCAATAAGAATTAGAGACCAAATAAATGTAAGGAATATGTGGTCAAGAAGAAAAAGGAGATTAGGATGACTCCTTGGTTTTTAGCTTGATCTATTTCAGTATGGCAACAAAATAAGCCAAGACAGGAAATAAAGATGGAGTATCAGAGTGATGGTTTTGTTTGATTGCCTGCTTGTTTTTGAGATGAAAACAATGAATTGTTTTATTTTTAAATTTTTTAAAAATATTTTATTTATTTGTCAGAGAGAGAGCAAGAGATGGAAAGAGAGAGAGAGCGGCAAGCCCAGGGAGAAGCAGGTTCCCTGATGAGCAAGGAGCCCGATACGGGACTTGATCCCAGCACCCTGGGATCTCGACCCAAGCCAAAGGCAGATGCTTAACCGACTGGGACACCCATGTGTCCCTATTTTTTAATTTATATACAGTAAAAAAAAATCACTCTTTTGGTATAAAGTTTTATGAATCTGACAAATGCACAGGCATAAAACTATCACAATCAAGATACAGAACAGCTCCATGACCCCTAAAAAACCTGGTCATGCTGCTCCTATTAACCCCTCTCCCACCCTTAATACCTGGTAACCACTGATTGGTTCTCCAGCTTCACAGTTCTGACTTTTCTTGAATTTCACCATAAATGGAATAATAACAGTATATAGTCTTAAATTGGCTTCTTTTATTTAGCAGTGCATTTGTGAGATCCATACTGTTGGCATATATAAATAATTTATTCCTTCTTCTTGTTGAGTAGTATTCTATTGCATAGATACTCCACAGTTTATCCATTCATTAGTTGAAGGACATTAAAGTTGTTTCTAGTTTAGTGCAGTTATGAATAAATCTGTTATAAATATTCATGTACAGGTTTTTGTGTAAATACAAGTTTTCATTTGTCTCGGGTAAATATTTAGAAGTAGGACTGATGGATAACACGGCAAGTGTATGCTTCACATTTTATAAGAAACTGCCAAACTGCAAAGTATTCCATCAGCAATGTGTAAGACTTCCTGTTGCTCTATGCTCTGCCTACACTTGGTATTGTCATATTTTGTTGGTAATTGTAGCCATTCTAATAGATGTATAGTAACTTTCATTTTAAACGTATTATACTTATAAAATAGGGCACATACAAGAGATTAAGACCTAGGACGGTTAAAAGTATGGGTCAAGGGGCACCTGGATGGCTCAGATGGTTAAGCGTCTGCCTTTGGCTTGGTCATGATCCCAGGATCATGCTCAGTGGGGAGCCTGCTTCTCCCTCTCCCTCTGCCTGCCACTCCCCCTGCTAGTGCTCTCTCTCTGTGTCAAATAAAATCAATAAAACTTAAAAAAAAAAAAAAAGTATGGGTCAAAACTCAGGATCATCCAAGATCATGCAGAGCTATAAAAGAAAGATGGCCAAGGGAGAAATCCTGAGAATGTTTGTTTACCTTTGAGTGGGGTAAAGGAAAGAACAAAGGAAACCAAAAAGAAATAGGTGAGAGAATCAGAAGAAAGTAAGAATCATGAAAAAGAAAGGAATTCAGAAGACAAAGGAGTATTTCATTTGTAGTAGTACTAAAAACAAGCCACTCAATTTATTCATTCATTGATTCATCCAGCAAATATAAGTGCCTACAATAAGCCAAGTACCACATGAGGCATAAGATTTGATAATTACTGGTAAAGATAGGGAGAAAAATTTCATTAGTGGTGGAGCTAAAAGTAGAATGGAATAGGCTGAACACTTCAGAATGATTTAAAAAGTATTTTGTGCCTTTGAATCTAACACATGTAAATTCTAGCAAGTAAAGTATATTTATAATCAACCAAAATCCTTCCTTAAAGTATTTAATGAGTTGATTTCAACAATACTGTGTGGACCTACAAATACTTATCATTAGAAACAGTTCAATCTAACTTTATTAGTAATAACAATGTTCAGCATTATTCCCTAAGTATCTCATACATAAAAATTCTGTCCCATTAATAAGAGGTTAGGCTCTGGGAAGAGAATAACAGAGATGAGTTCATTGTAGAGCAAACTGGGCTTCAACATTAGTTGTTGAATTATGCTCAATAAGTATAAAATATTTTAGCAAAATGAAATGTTCACAGCAATAAGCCTCTTAATATTTATCACCTACATTAGACTTTTCCAGGCCATTGGCCTCTAACAGCTTCTGATCACATATCCTCATGTATGCAAAATATATTTGTGCATTCATCTTCAATGTTTATTTATATACAAGTATTACTAATCTAATAATCTATCCCATTAAAAAAGTAAAGGAGGGCATGTGTTGTGATGGGCACTAGGTGTTATACACAACTGATGAATCGTTGAACACTACATCAAAAACTGATGATGTACTATATGCTGGCAAACTGAACGTTAAATAAATAAATAAATAAATAAATAAATAAATAAATAAATAAATAAATAAATAAAATTAGTAGAAAATTTTTAGAAAGGAATACTTTTAAAAGGTAAAGAAACAAGTTTTAATATTTTCTCCCCATACCTGATTCAATTACCTTCTGCCTCCACAACCTACACACTGGACACTTCTTCTAAAACCATTACTCTAGGTGACCACATTAAAACCTTTAATATAAATATGTTAACCAAATAAAATCTACCCCCAACAACTCATATATCATTTGTTCCTTTTTCTGATGTAGTACTAACTTATTTAACACCGGCATCCTCACTGCAGTTGCTTTAAAAGGGACATAAAGTCCAAGAAAAATCATCTCTAAAGGTGCCTGACTCAACAGGATTGTTCCCTTTTCTGGAAAATAACTTTAAAAGACCGTATTTCAAAGGTTGCTATCTCATACAAGTTATTTTAAATATAAGAAATGCTATTCAGATACTTCAAATCCGCAGCAGAGGGATTTTTTTCCTTTTTCAGTCAAAAGCTTATTTTTCACTCAGCTCTTTCAAAAACTGTTTTGAGGTTGGGAAAGTAACTGGAATTCTAACTTCTTTTAGTATCTATTAACGGAACTTCTTGTGTCTCTAAAGACTCCATTTCCACGGCTTGGGTGCATATTAGTACAATTATACATCGGTACCAAAGTGCTGACTAGAACCCCTACAACCAAACAAGCAGTACTTAAAGACAGAAAGGGGAGAGCTGTTTCTTGTTTACCAAGGAAGAAAGTCGCTTTATGAATCACTGAGTGTAATTAAGAGACATCAAATCAGAGGTTTAAAAAAATTTTTTTTAAATGTTTTAAAAGCCTAACAGTAAATGCTGATGTCGTATTCTTTTGAAGTATCACTATCCCGTTTCACAGCTTTCAAACCCTTCATCTCTTAGGCATTACCGAGGAAACACTTACTAAATTTTCATCTTGGAAGGGAGCTGACAGGCTATTAGAGAGAAGCATCTAACCCACCCCTGCCGGCGTCCACACTGAGCCTTCCCAGGCACCTGCTGGCGGAACGCGACGGTGCGACAATTACCACCCGCCCCAGGGCCACCACTGCCGTAGTCTGGACACTGTGGAACTTCTAATATGCTGCGGGACTCACACAGACGCTGAGTCCCAGGAGTGCACGGCAACATTTGACAAGACCGGGTACCGAGAACAGGAACCACCAAGGCGCGGAGAAGCAGAACGGCAGGAGGATGAGCTCGGCTGCTTAAGAGGCTCCTTCCGAGGGCCAGCCTGGCTGCCTGCGAGGATCTGTATTCCCCGCACCTTCGCGTCAGCAAGGACTAGGTCCGGCTGCCACGCCCCCGCCACCGCGGTCTCCCTCAGGGGAACCCGAGGAAAAAGACCTGGCAGCATGGCCTGGTCCTCAAGCCTTCGCAAGGAAAGGGGTAAATAACAGCGGCCCCTGGAACCAGTAACTCCCAAAGGGACCAAACCCGAGGTTCACCCAAACTGGCCTGTGTCACTCCCACTTACCCATTAATGTGGCAATACGCGGTGTCTTAACTTCCCAGCTCCCGGTTGCGGCGTCCGCTGCAGGTAACAGTGGGGTCGCCACTCCGCCCCTAGCGTTGAGCGTAACGACAAGGTTCGCCACTCAAGATGGCGGCTACCTGCGCCCCTTCCCCGAGACCCCGAGGCTCGGCTCCCAGAAGCCCTTGCAGGCGGCGACCGCAGTGGTGGCGGCTGCAGCTGCAGCGACCGGCGGAGGGGCGGAGAGAAGCGAGCGCCCCAGCTCCACCCACCGAAGGAGGAGCCGGCCGCTGCGCTAACTCCGGGATTGTAATAGGGCGCGGTCGCGGTGGCAGCGCTGTGTCCTACTGCCCTACTCCTCTGTGCGAGCTCTCGTTCATTCACTCATTCGTTGGTTTAGTTTGTTTATTCGGTCCTACAAAATAGTACTGATGGAGGGCCTAATCTGTGCTAGGCACTGTTTTAGATATTAGAGCTGCTATAGTGTAAACAACGGAAAAATTCCAACCTCGTGGAGCTTTACAGAGGCTCTTTCCTTCTTCAGCTGCTTTAACCTCTTCCTGTACGTCCTGCTCATTTGTTTCAAGTTTTTCAATTTGCCATTTATTTAAAATTTGGATTCTATAACATCTGTGGATTTTTAACGAAAAGGTAGTCACTGATATATGAAATTAATACTTCCAAATAAAGAATTCTAAATTATTGTAACACACATAGCTTTGTAATCCACCCTGGAGTTCAACAAACAGCATTGAAAAGAGACTATCTTCTAGAATATAGAAGATAAAAAACACATGATTCCTGCCCTGAGGAAGATCCTGTTTTCTATCTCCTGTTCTTTTTGTTTTCTTTTCTGAGAAATTTCTTGGGTTATCTTCCAGCTCTGGATTTAGATGGATAGATGATAGAGATAGATAGATAGATAATAGATAGATGGTAGGTAGATAGATTCTGCTATTGTATTTTTTAATTCTGCTGTTGTATTTTTAATCCCAAGAGCTATTTCCTATTTTTGATTCAGGAATTAAATATCTTTTTTTTTTTTTTGTCTCTCTGAAGATATCGATTGTAGTTTCCTTGAAGTATTTTTTTCCCCTTCATTCATTGTCTCTGATTCTTCAGAGTGTTTTTCCTTTTTGATCATTTTTGGTTTTCATCTTTCCTGCCACAGCTGTATTCTAAAGCCTGGTGATCTTTGAGTATCCATTCATATTTAAGAGTGAGACACTAAAGAAAACTATTGTAAACTTGTGTATCAGCTGATTGTTTACTTGCCAATTGTTGCCCTCCCTACGGAGTAATAACATGGGATCTTGGCTGTTTCATTGGAGGACTTTCTAAAAGCCCTTATCCGTAGGTCTTTTCTCTCAGACCAATGATTTTCCCTGGAGAAGAATTTTCTAATCTTACTAGAAGGCACATATCAGACATCAGAATGTGATGGGGGAGGGGGATGGCCTCATAATTCAGTATTTAGCTTTCACTATTCCCCACTTACAGTCCAACACCTTGACACCCCCTCCCCCCAACTCTTAGCTGTGCATTTCTGACTTAATTGCCTTTCTGGTTCGTCTTCTTCATGAAACCAAACCTATACCCTTCTGTTTTGGAGGGAAAGATCAGTCACTTGGCAACCTGGTAATGGAGGAAATCTGGAGGTAGAGTGCTTACTCCTTATTCAGACTTTTCAGCAAAATGTTCCTCTTTTCAGGCCCAGTTTTAGTATGTTTTTTAGAAGTATCTGGTCTTTAATTTCTGAACATTTCCAGAATTCTGGTGTATAAACCGATTTGTTTTTGTTGACTTCTCTTAGGCAAGTTAGTTACTACTCTTCTAGCTTTCAAATGTTATTAAAATCTCATTAGCATTTATTTTTATTATTTTTATTCTGTCATTTTAATAGATTTTGAGAGGCAGGGAATATAGATGTACATGTTCAGTCTGCCATATTAAACCACAAAATCCCTAACGTATTGTACATTATCAGATTATGCCACTCTCCTGTTTAAATATTCCAATAGTTTTCTACAAGAGCCTACATGATTTGGCCCCTGTCTTGATATACCGTGGCAGTCAGGCCCTAGGGTATTGTGTACTCGTGTAATGTCCTAGTACCCGTCATAGGAATTCATTCTGAAAATTCTCAGAGCCTTGTGTCCTCTAGTAAATTTAGAGTCATCACCCTGAACCGAGGATGCAAAAAAGACTACGACTCCCAGAAAACACTACAACCCAGACCGGCGTGGAGCAGTGCATGCCGGGAGTCTTTTCCTTCCGGCTGACAGAGGAAAAGCTTTTTTGAATGTGATAATGGAAGTGAAAGTATTTTGGCGGCGCTGGTTCTTGTCTTGGTTAACTGTGAATCTTTGGGTGTAGGGAGGGCCTGTCCCAGTCTTCCAGGCCGGGAAAGGTAATCGGCGCTGAACGTGCACTTCTCTGCGGGAGAGCCAGACGGCGTCCGCGGCGGACCCGAAGCGGAAGCCAACCATAAGGCAGTGTGACCGCGGCCGGATCTTCGGGCCGGTAGGAACTAACGGTCCCTTCCCTTATTCCCCCGGCCTCAACTTTGACTCAGTCAGTGTCTGGGCCGGTTTCGGGTCCTGGACATTGGCGCGGACTTTTGGGCAGACTGGACCTTGTGGCATTCGGCCTTTACGGCTTCTCTCACCTCCTGCCCAGCCTGTTACCTGTCATAGCCTCCTTACATCTCTCACCCACTTGATCTTATCAGAGTGTTTGGGAGTTCAAGCGTATCCCTCTGTCTAGCTGTGTCCCAGCCTCGGGAAAAGAAGAAACTGACGTTCTTTCCACGGGTGGTTTGGGAGAATTTCCTTCTAAAATCGGAAACTATTTTCACTGGTCTGAAGGGGAATAAGAAACATAAGGACAATGTAGCTTCTTACAAAGCTAAATTTATTCAAATAGTGGGAGTAGTTTCCTTATTTTTCTTTTCGTTTTTAAATAGTCCTTAGCTGAACGACATAGGAAGGTTGTGGCTGTGATTGCTTTTTTAAAAATTCTAAACAAAATCACCTTTTGTCCGTACCCAGTACTTTATTAGTCCATAAAACCCTAAAGTGACTGCTGATTTAGTACAATTCATTTTATAGGCCAAACCTCAAAGACATGAGCTGTCTTACCTAAAATTCTGAAACGTGAGATTGCAATCCAGTTCTCTTGGTTCTGGAATCTGTGTTCTTTGCTACCATGGTCACTCTTTTTATTTGGGTTGAGAGGACAGCGTTTGGAGTTTGACTGAATTGGCATTTTGGATGACCATTTTCTGGCCTTGGTGACCTATCTGAGCCAGGGTTTCCTCCATATAGGATGATAATAATGCTACTTAAATTACTTTGATATATCTAAAGCTCTTTAACTGTTAACTCCTGTTAGTAAGATGTATTTATTTACCCTCCCCATTGTTAACCACTTTAAGTTCCTGTATTTAGATAGACCAGTTGATAAGATTTCTTTTCGTTTTCTCTTAACTGACTTACCATACTTGGGCAATTTTATAAACATTATTTTCTTCTCTCCCTCAGACCAGACATGCTTTTTGAAATATATTAAAAATTATTTACTTTAATTTGAACTATTATTGCTTTTATTTTATTGAAACCCTAAACTTAAAATACAGTAGAGAAATTTTGGTTGAGATTTATAATGAAGTTTGTGCATTTGAGGAAACGTTAAGTACATCAAAAATATCTTCAAATATTCCAGCTTTAAATATTTGTTAAAAATTTGTTTCAAATCATTTTATAGAATGCATTTTTTTTCTTCAGTCTTTCAAACTTAAAATAATATTATATTCTTTTCTAGCTACCTGATGTACTATGCTTTCTTGTGATATTTGTGGTGAAACAGTAACCTCGGAACCAGACATGAAGGCTCACCTCCTAATTGTTCACATGGAAAATGAAGTTATATGTCCATTTTGCAAGTTGTCAGGCGTGAATTATGATGAAATGTGTTTTCATATTGAAACTGCTCATTTTGAGCAAAATGAACTAGAAAGAAGCTTTGAGAGGATCAATACAATACAGATTAGAACTTCAGATAACAGGAAAGACACCTTACAGTGTAGAATGGAAGTTAATTCTAGTGTCCATTCAGCTTGTGCATCTAATCATCCAAAAATTTCAGCTCAAAGCCTGCCTAATGATGGTACTTTAAAACATAAAGCCTTTTATTCGGAGAACTTAACTGAATCTAGAAAATTCCTTAAAAGTAAGGAAAAAGAGTGTGACCCATCTAAAATAAAAAGATCAATTTATGAAACAACGTACAGTCCTCCCGAATGTCCGTTCTGCGGAAGAATAGAAGATTGTAGTCAAGATATGGAAAATCATGTGAAAACAAAGCATGCTGATCTTTTAGACACTCCATCAGAAGGTAAGATACTCATTTTATGTAATAAGTAACAGTAGTGTCAGTTTAATATGTGGTGTTCTAAAAGTTGGTTTGTAAATCAGATTACTGCAAATGTGTTTTTTTTTAATTCAGTTTATAATGTTGTTCATTTGCTATTATTACGATATAAAAATACAGTTGTGGAAAAGAATTTTTTATTCAGATAATAAATGTTTCAACCACACTGAGAGTAGTTTTAGAACCTTTCTGAGGAGGAATATACTAAGAGTCCATTTTTCAGAGGGCATTCTCTTAACACCAGCCCAGTGGCATCTGAACTCTCTTGGACTCTGATTTTCTGTGGTTCTGAGTTTCACTCCCTTATGATCAGAGAACACACTCTATGATTTTAGTTCTTTTAAATGTGTTGAAACTTGTTTTATCTACCAACGTATTGTATATGATCTATCTTGGTACATATTCCATGGACACTTGGGAAAGAGAAATATATTCTGCTGTTGTTGTCAATGGTTAGAGTGTTCTAAATTTGTCATTTAGATCATTTTGTTTGTATTCAGATCCTCTATATCCTTTCTGATTTCCTGTCTAGCCTTTTTTGAAAGGAGGTTGTTGAAGTCCACGATTATAATTGTGTATTTGTCTATTTTCCCTTTCAGCTTTCTCAGGCTTTATCTGTTTGGAGGCTCTGTTGTTGGTGAATACAGTACATTTAGAATCATCTCTTTTTCTTTACTGTTGAATTTTAAGAGTAATTTGTTTATTTTGGATATGAGTCCTTTATCAGATACGTGTTTTGCAGATATTTCCCAGTCTGGAGCTTGTCTTTTCATTCTTTTAACTCTGTTTTTCACAGAGCAGAAGTTTTAACTTTTAATGAAGTGCAACTTACTTGATTTCTTCATTTATGGATTGTGCTTTTGATCTTGTATCTAAAAACTCATCACCAAACCCAAGGTCACCTTTCCTATGTTATCTTCTAGAAGTTTTATAGTTATGAATTTTACATTTAAGTCTGTGATTCATTTGAGTTATTTTTTTAAAAGGTGTAAGGAGAGTCTAGATTCACTTTTTTAAAATTAATAAATATTTTTTACAGCAGTTTCAGGTTCACAGCAAAATTAAGGAAAAAGTACAGAGAATTCCATGTACTCACTGTCCTCATATACTCACAACCTCCTCCACTATCAATATCTGTACCAAGTGATACATTTGTTATGATCAATGAACTTACACTGACCCATCATTATCACCCAAAATCCATAGTTTCCATTAAGGTTCATTCTTGGTATTGTATATTCTATAGGTTTTGACAAATGTGTAATAACAACTACCCACCATTTTAGTTATCATGCAGAAGAGTTTCACTTCCCTAAAAATCCTCTGTGCTCCATCTAGTCACCCCTCCCCAACCCCAACCCCTGGCAATCACAGATCTTTCTACTATCTCTGTATTTTTGCCTTTTTCAGAATGTCATTGGAATCATACAGTATATAGCTTTTTCAGATTGATGTCTTTTACTTAGTAATATGCATTTAAGTTTTTCTCCATGTCTTTTCACGGCGTGATAGCTCTTTTTTTTAGGGCTGAATAATACTACATTGTCTGGATGTACTACAGTATATTTATCCATTCACCTACTGAAAAACATCTTGGTTGTTTCCAAGTTTTGGCAATTAGGAATAAAGTTGCTTTAAATATCCACATGCAGGATTTTATATGGACAGAAATTTTCTATTCACTTGGGTAAATACCAAGGAATGTGATTAATGGATTGTATAATAATAGTGTATTTAGTTTTAATAAGAAACTGCCAAACTCTTTCACAGTGGCAGTGAATGAGATTTCCTGTTGCTCCACATCCTCACCAGCATTTGGTATTGTCAGTGTTCCAGATTGTGGCCATTCTAAAGTTGTGTCTTTCAAGGAATTCTAATATTTGTGTTGTGGTATCTCATCTTAATTTAATTTGAAGTGTTCTCATAAACATAAATGAACATCTTTTTGTATGCCTCATTACCATCTGTATATCTTCTTTGGTAAAGTGTCTGTGAGGGTCTTCAGCCCACATTTTAATCTGGTTTTGGTTTTCTTATTGTTGATTTTTAAGAGTTCTTTGTATATTTTGGATAACGGATCTTTAGTACATGTATCTTTTGCAAATATTTTTTCCCATTCTGTGACTTGTCTTCTTATTCTCTTTGACAATGTCTTTTGCAGAGCAGTTTTTTATATTAATGAAGTCTACCTTATCATTTATTTTGTAACTTCATCATGCCTTTGGTGTTTTCATCGCCATATCCTAAGTCATCTAAGTTTTCTCCTATGTTATGTCCTAGGAGTTTTGTGGTTTCACATTTTAAGTTTAGGTCTGTGATCCATTTTCAAGTTACTTTTTGTGAAGGACATAAGGTCTGAGTCTAGATTCATTTTCTTTGCATTTTGATGTCCACATGTTCCAGCACCATTTGTTGATAAGATTTTCTTTCCTCCATAGTTCTGTCTTTGCTTTGTCAAAGATTAGTCGACTGGGCTATTAGTCTCTTTCTGGGCTCTCTGTTCTGTTCCATTGATCTGTTTGTTCTTTTTTCAGTACCACAGTGTCTTGATACTCTAACTTTCTACTGTTTTGAAGTCTGGTAGAGCCAGTTCTTTGACTTTGCTCTTCTTCAGTATTGTATTGGTTATTCTAGATCTTTTGCCTCTTCATATAAATTTTAGAATCAGCTACTTAATAGCCACAAAATAACTTGCTGGGATTTTTTATTGTGATTGTCTGGAATCTATAGATCAAGTTGGGAAGTATAGACATTGTGGCAATATGGAGTCCTCCTATCATGAACAAGAAATATCTCAACATAGTTTTTCTTTGATTTCTTTCATCAGAATTTTGTATTTTTTCTCATGTATGTCTTTATATTTTGTTAGGTTTTTACCTCAGTATTTTTTTTTTGTATTAATTTGCCCAGTTGTGTCTTTCAAGGAATTGGTCCATTTCATCTAGTTTACAAATTTGTGGCATAGTTCATAATATAACTTTATTATCTTTGGAACGTACATGGGATATGTGATGTCCCCTTTTTTATTTCTGGTGTTAACAATCTGTGTTCTCTTTTTTCTTCTTCGATAGCTTGGCTAGAGGCCTTTGGTTTCATTGCTTTTCTCTATTGGTTTTCTGTTTTCAATTTCATTGATTTCTGCTCTTTTTTTTTTAAATTTCTTCTGCTTATCTTGGATTTACCTTGTTCTTCTTTTTCTAGTTTCCTGTAGTGGAAACCTAGATGATTGCGTAGAATGTTATAAATTTCCTTCTAAGCAGTGATTTTGCTGCATTGCACAAACTTTAAGTTGTATTTTAATTTTCATTTATTTCAAAATATTTTAAAATTTACCTTGAGATTTCTTTGGTACATTATTTAAATGTGTGTCTAATCTCCAAGTATTTGGGGATTTTTCAGCTCTTTCTCTTAATTTTTGTTTATTTCCCTTGTAGTTTGAGAGCAGACTGTTTGATTATAATTTAATTCTTTAAATTTCTTAAGCTTTAATGGCCTAAATTATGTTTGATGGCCTAGAATGTGGTCTGTCTTGGTGAATATTTTATATGAGCTTAAGTAGAATGTGTATTCTGCTGTTGGATGAACTTGTGTATAAGCATCAATTATATTCAGTTGACTGATGGTACTGTTGGGTTCAGCTATATCCTTACTTACTTTCTGCCTGCTGGATTTGTCCACTTCTAAAAGAGTAATGTTAAAAATTCTCTAACTGTATAATAGCAGATGCGCCTGTTTCTTCTTGCAGTTCTGTTAATTTTTGCCTCATGTATTTTGACACTCTGTTAGGCCCATACACATTAAGGATTTTTATGTCTTTTTGGAGTATTGAACCCTTTGTCATTATGTAATGCCCCACTTTATCCTGGATAACATTCCTTGTTCTGAAATCTGCCCTCTCTGAAATTAATATTAGCTGACTCCGGATCTTTGTTTGGTTTTGGTTTTGGTTAGTGTTAGCATGATGTATCTTTCTCTATCCCTTCACTTTTAATCTATATTTGTATTTTTTTAAGATGTATTTATTTATTTTTGAGGGGATGTGTGAATAGGCAGAGGGAGAGAATCTTCAGGTAGACTCCCCACTGAGCACAGAGCTCACGTAGGGCTCCATCTCACAACCCATGAGATCAAACCAAGTCGGATGCTTAACCAACTGAGGCACCCAGGTGCCCCTCTATATGTGTATTTATATTTAAAATGAATTTCTTGTAGACAACACACAGGTAGGTCTTATATTTTGCTCCACCTTGATAATCTGTCTTTTAATGTGTATGTTTAGACCAGTGATGTTTAAAGTGATTATTCCTATAGTTAGATTAATATACCATATTTGTTATTGTTTTCTATTTGTTGCCCTTGTTCTTTGCTTCTTTTTTTGTCTTCGACTTTTTTCCTGATATTGTGGTTTAATTGAGCATTTCGTATGATTTTATTTTCTCTCCATGGGGAAAAACAGTTCATGCATGTAGTCTTTTGACCCTATTTGGCCACATAAGAATGATCCTTAGGCCTAGAACACTTCCTTCTCAAGAGATAGAGTTCTCACAGCCTGTGTATGGAAATATCTTTTCCTGTTTCAGGCAACAATATATACTCCTTTGTTTTACTTAAGCATGTGTGTCCTATGGCACCTGAACAGCCTTAATGCTAAATCTATCCTCTGCTGGAAGGGGATGACATCTTTCATTCTGTGGTGCAGGAGAGGTGTGTACAGACCAATTGCCCTGTGTGGGCTGCTGGAAGTGACCCACTGGCCATGGCAGACTAATGTCTAATACTGAAGAAGATCTTGCTCTTTCTCTGTTTACTGTGAGTCAAGTGTTCTGTCTAGTACTTGACAGCATTGTTTTCCGTGGTGATTCTGATATCAAGATGCATTTGGACTTCTACTCCTGATAATAGGCAAGAGATGTCACTTGCTCAGTACTCTCCTTTCTTAGCATATCAATTACACTTGTTTTTACTTTTTTAGTCCTTGGCCTAGAGTTTGCAGTATACATTAACAACTAATCCAAGTCTGCTTTTGAATAACGTATCACTATATGAGTGCAAAGACCTTATAATAATAAGATATTCCTAATTCCTCCCCATCCCTTGTGTCATTGCTATCATTCATTTCAAGTAAATGTAAGCACACATGTATATACATATATATATATATATACACACACACACATAATTTAATACGTTGTTGCTATTTTTATTTTGAATAAACTTACCTTTTGTATCAATTAATGAGAAAAATAAAAGTTTTTATTTTATCATCTCCTGTTTCTTCCCTGATGCTCTTCCTTTAAGGATATCCATGTTTCTGACCAATATAATTTTCCTTCTCTCTGAAGAACTTCTTTTAACATTCCTTGCACAATTTCCCTCAATTTTTGTCTGAGAAATTCTTTATTTTTCCTTCACTTTTGAGGGATAATTTTGAATGGTACAGAATTTTAGGTTGGTGGGGTTTTTTTTTTTCTTCTGGAAACTTTAAATATTTTACTCCTCTCTCTTATTACCTGAATGACTTCTGAGAGGTTGTATGTAATTCTTATCTTTGTTCCTCTATAGGCAAGGTGTTTTTTCCCTCTGGCTTCTTTCAAGATTTTTTATCTTTGATTTTTCTGAAGTCTGAATGTGATGTGCCTAGATGTAATTTTTTGTATTTACTGTGCTTGGTGTTTTCTGAGCTTCCAAGATCTATAGTTTGATGTCTGACATTAGCTTGGGGGATACTCTCAGACCTTATTGCTTTAAATAATACTTTTGTTCCTTTCTTTCTTCTCCTGGTATTCCCATTTTGTGTATGTTCTACCTTTTGCAGTTCTCCCACAGTTTTTGGAGATTGTGGGTTTGTTTTTTTATGTTTATGGGGGGAGGTTTTGGGGGGAGGGTCTTTTTCTCTTTACGTTTCATTTTGGGGAATATCTTTTCTCATCTCACACTCAGAGATTCTTTCCTCAGCCATGTCCAGCCTGCTAATAAGCCCACGTGTTTGATCTCTAGCATTTCTTTCTTTTTTTAGGATGTCACTTCTATTAACTTTTGAAGATTTATAGCACTTAAATTATGTTGCTTGAATGTATGAAGGTTAAAAAATTTTTTTTCATAAAATACAAGAGCACCCAATTTGGTCATCAAGTAAAAGTAAAAACTGGGTTTCCTTTTAAAATTAGTCCAAGGTAGCATTTAGGAACTTAGTCGTAGGCTGCAGTGTTGACACCATGACAAAGCCAAGTATAGGGTTGGGTCTGGTTTTGTTTGGTTGTTTTCAGTAGCCAGTGCTCCTGGATTAAGTTCTGAAAATGGTCCAGTTGTAAGGCAGAGATCTATTTGGATTCCACCAGAGGTATGTTCCTTGAGTTGGCTGCTGCAGGATGAGGCACATTTTCTGGGACCCATGTCAACTACCTGCTAGTCAATCAAGGTAAAAAAATTCATCGTCTCCTCCTTGGTATTCCATTCCATGGAAATCAGCTCAGTATTGCAAGATACTTCAGGTCCACCAAATCCTTTCACAAACTAGGATCTTTCTTATGACCTATCTGTGACAATTTCCAGTGTAGCTCCAAATTTTTAATAGTTGTGAGCAAACCATTCCAGGAGGGACATATTCTCAATCAGTTCATGTTCCTGTCCTGTCAGTGAAATGAGATTTATCCTTCTCTTATTCTTCAGTTAGATAGAGAATTTTCTCCTCTTCTGTGCCTTGGCAATGAAGAACATTTCTCATAGTATCCAGATTTTCATAAACTGTTAGAATCTCTACAGCTCCCACTTGCAAAGCCTTTAGTGTATCTTCATCTCCAAAACAGTACTTATCTGTCTTCTGGCTGCTTTCACCAAAATGTTGAATTAATATCTCTGTTTGAATGAATTTTACCTCAGTAGATAACTCAATGGCCTGGTTTCCATATTCACCACCATAGGATATATCAACTAATTTTAAATTTTTTGACTGCAGCGTCTCTCCAAACATATCAGATTGACTTAGTTCAGTTTTAAGGTCAGCTGATCCACCTAAAATGAGACCGGTCACATTCATTTTGTGGAAATAAACAGCTGTCTAGCAGTCTCAGCTACTTTCTTTTTTTTTTTTTTTAAAGATTCTATCCATTTGACAGAGAAAGACACAGTGAGAGAGGGAACACAAACGGGGAGTGGGAGAGGGAGAAGCAGACCCCCCCGCCGAGCAGGGAGCCCGATGCGGGACCCAATCCCGGGACTCCAGGATCATGACCTGAGCCGAAGGCAGTCGCTTAACCAACTGAGCCACCCAGGCGCCCCTCAGCTACTTTCTAAATATAGTTATTCCACTTCCAGATCAGGCCTTACATGTATGGATTGCTCGGCTCAGTGCTCAGGGTCCCTCTTCTGTGCCCAGTATCAGTCAGGTCTTGGTTTTTGCAGAGGTACTGCTTCTGGCCTGGGCAAGCTACACCTATCTACTTGCCGTGCTGCTTGATGGATGCAGCTTTTTGATCTCCTGCTCCAGTTAGGCAGTATGATCCCAGTTCTGAGCTTTATGCTGAAGGCTTTATGTTGAATTTTGTACCTCACCATTTAGTTTGGAAGGAGGATGCTGTTAACTTAACCCCTAAAATTCATGCGTAGACTGGCCCCTACTTACCGTTTTGATTTTCCTTTATACTTTTCTTGCTTTGACCACAGATCCGAATATTTATTATTAATTTTTTCTTTTATTATAGTGGTAAGAGAGATGTGTGCTTATGCTCAATCTTCCATTTTGACCCCAGAAGTATAAAATAGCTTTAAATCCAACTACAAAGAGCTTTTACTTATTTAATAAGGTTAGTAGACAGTGGACAATCTTTGACTTAGGGTGAAAAAAATCTAAAAGTTTTAAAAATAAAATCAACTGAATTATATCTCTAAAACAGACCATGATCAACCACTGTATGACTGTCCTATGTGTGGGCTCATCTGTACAAATTACCATATTCTCCAGGAACATGTTGACTTACATTTGGAAGAAAGCAACTTTGGACAAGGTATGTTGATATGTTAAAAATAAGAATCTCATGATTTAATTTCTGCTTCCTAGGATATATCTAATTTTTAGAGTAGTGATACAGAGGGAAAAAAGCGTACTGGTTAAAAATAAATTTGTCCCTTTAAAGAATTCTAATGTAACTTCAACTTCTTTTTGGAAGTTGTTTCACAGAAAAGTTGTATAGGATGAACTGTTTTGAGCAGTAACTAAATTAGTGATTTTGCCCTCAGAGTTTTGCCCCAGAGCACTAGTATTTAGAAGACAATGAAATATGTACACTTTACGAAATCTGTTTGCTGAGGTTGAGGCCATTCGTTCAACAGCTAGAAATAACTGAATTTAGCATCAGGTCAGCAAAAGTTGTTGTTGAACTAAGAAACTGCCATATGGCACTTCTAGTTTTTTAAAAATATATGAACTGTATGATTTAAATGTTTTTCAAGTTCATTTCCAGTTTGCCCAGTTTCTTATATTACCACTTACTAGTTTTGTAAGTGACTCTATACAATTTCCTCTCTGTTCCTTTCTTTTTGAATAGTGGCATTGATCATTGTGGTGCCTTAGAAGTAGGATTCTGTGAGTTTCAGAGTCCCATTGAAACAATATAAAGTAGACCCTAAGAGAAACCAATTGTGTTCTACTGGATTTCATTTTCTTAAGGTACATTGATATCTCCTGTTAATTCAGGGGTCTTCAGTACCCAGTATTAATGATCCTAATACCAATAAGTGATCTTCATGCGTAATATTTCTTGCTCACTCAGCCTGATCCCAAAATGAGAATCACTGGGGCAAAGATTTAACAGTCCTCTTCTCCAGTGATTCTCCACTGACTGCTGTGGAAAAATAACCCTCTGAAGCTGAAAGTCTGATAATTCTTTTGTTTATAATAGGCTTTGTATGGGTACATAAATTATTCTATAAGCCTATGATAGATAATGAAAGATATGTCCTGAGTAAATCACTGTAGATAGTGTCAGAATTATGCTAAAAATCAGTTGTAAATTGTTTATCTCTGGCAGTGGAAGTGGGGACCAAATAGGAAGATGTAGTAGAGACTGAGAGATTTGAAAGGAAAGAAAGAATATTCAAATACATAATTCAAATATCAAATTGGAAGTCAGGAAGACCAGATCCTGGCCAGAAGCCACTGACTAATATATCTGTGGGATACTGGGTAGAGAGGAAACAGGGCAACATGTTGCAAAGTTGTACCATTTGTTTGAGACCAGACTGTAATTAAGCTATACTTGGCAGGGGCGCCTGGGTGGCTCAGTTGGTTAAGCAACTGCCTTCAGCTCAGGTCATGATCCTGGAGTCCCGGGATCGAGTCCCACATCGGGCTCCCTGCTCAGCGGGGAGTCTGCTTCTTCCTCTGATCCTCCCCCTCTCATGCTCTCTGTCTCCCATTCTCTCTCTCAGATAAATAAATAAAATCTTTAAAAAAAAAAAAAAAAGCTATACTTGGCAGACATATTTTTATGCTCTTCATTATTTCCTTTTCTCCCCCCAGTTTATTTTAAAAGCCAGTCTTCCTTATTTGTGTTAATAAGGAACACCAATGAAGAGTATTACTTGATTTCTCTAAGTTCTGATTTCCTTAGGAAATAATATCTGACTTCCTAAGGTTGTTATGAGGATCAAATGAGATAATTAATGAAAAATGCTTGTCACAGCCTACCTATTCAGTGAATATTAGTGATTTAAGTGGAGGTTCTACCCTGTAGAAGCCATTCAAGTTCTGCTAGAAACAGTGTTTCCGTGACATCATAGTCATGAGTAAATATCAAAATAATAGCATTTATTCCATTTAAAAGATATGAGTTAACATATAATAGGTGAGATTTGAATTCAGTAGTTATTTTATTCTAAGCATTAAAAATATCTCATAGGCATAGATAGAGTCCAATGTTCTAGAGATCTAGAATTGGCTCACCAGCTTCAACAAGAAGAAGACAGAAAGAGGAGATCTGAAGAAGCACGACAAGAAATGGGAGAATTTCAGAAGCTGCAGGTACAAAAATTAATAACAATTGTAATATTTTGCTTTGGTAGAGTTCTTATTTTTCAAACATGCTGTCAAGACTGCAGCCTATTATTTTTGTCATTGTTGGTATACAAAATACCAACACATTTTTACATACACATTTTATAATTCATAACAGCTACCACTTATAAGTACTCATTCTGATCATGTACCGGGATAAGCACTTCATATATAGTATCTTAAGATCATCACAACAACTGCCTAAATGACAAATGAGGAAGTAAAGACAGAGTGCTTATGTAGCTAGTAGTTTGTTCAGGTTCAGGCTGTATTAAATGGTAAAGCCTGGATTCAAACCTATGTTAAATTGACAGGGCAGATTAGGAAGCAAGTACTCAGAATTTAAGTGTTTGTATAGATAGATACTTAAAAGAGAAACTTAGAATTAATATCTCCTGTCTGAGTGTTAAATTTTTTTAGTGATTGCAATTCAGGCATTTAAAAAGAGCCATTTTTAATAGAAAACCCAATTTTGGTGGTATTTGAGACTTTATCTTGGGTTGGTGGTATCTGCTGAAGTAAACTGGCAGCATCTAGTATATTTTAATGCATTTAAATTTTTAATAGATTTTTCTACTTTTTTCAGTCATAATTTTCTGTGAACTACTACCTGTGCTAATAATGCTCAGAGTTTCTAAAAACGTTTTCTATGTGCTAATAGGGTAACGTTTGAATAAAAAGGGCTTATGATTGAATAGATTTGAAAGTATTCAGTTAAACAGGTTTGTATACTGCAAGATTTCTCAAAACCTTTAATATACTAATGTGCATTGTACATACCATAATTTCTCAGACCTACTTCTGAGTTTTTCTTCTCAGATGTTACATATGACTATGTAATTCTCATTTTAGAATATCTAATTTAGGCTATTTTTCTCCTTGGTGATTCATTTATTTGCAAAACATTTTCCCACCAAGATTCAGAGGAGGAAAAAAAGTTGGCTTTTCCTCAGTTTTCTTTGTCTTATATAATTTTGAACATTATCAATACAAAAAGTTTCCAGTATTTAAGGGAGTTTGTTAAGTAACTTTGCAAGTTGTTTAGATCTCAAAAACTTTTTCCATAGAGGCTGTGTTATACATTGGAGATTCTCTATCCAGTGAGCAAAAAAACGTAGTTAATTTACTATGTAGAATTACTGCCTGAATGAATTATGGATTAAGTAGGCCTTCATAGGCTAGCCTGGAACCAAATAATAAGTACTGACAAGTTTTCTTAAATAAATCAGCGGTATGTTCAGAACTCATCTGCCTTTTTCCATACCTTTAGTAGGAAGACAGGATTCTTTACCTTCCCTAATACAGAGAAAGCAAATCTCTTGCCCTGGTGGTTGTTAACAGAGAAAGGCTGTTACTAACTTAGGGATTTGTGTGTGTGTGTGTGTTATTTATCTTTAATAAAAATCTTAAGAAAAATCTTTAAATAAAAATATCTAATAAAAAAATCTTAATCTTGTATGAAAGTCTATAAACCAGAATGTTTCAATTAGCAATAATTGCACCTCGGATAAACCTCATTGGCTACGATACTGCCACTGTGCAAAGCTATAAACCAGAATGTTTCAAAGTACATTTCCAAATAAATAAAATTGTAGTAAGTTTCCATCCTCATCGAGGTAAAGGGACATAAAAAGTAAGTCATTTTTATATTTGATAGAGACAATATGGTTTAGATAATTCTGGAGGATACAAACAACAGCAACTACGAAATATGGAGATAGAAGTCAATAGGGGAAGAATGCATCCATCTGAATTTCATAGAAGAAAAGCTGATATGATGGAATCGCTAGCTATTGGTATTGATGATGGAAAAACAAAAACTTCTGGTGAGTACTTAAACATCAAAATCATTATTTTAGTATTTCATGTAACAGTGAAGTAATAATCAGGATTTTTTAAATTTTGCTTAATTTTAATTATCCATAGTTTGTATACTTTTAGGTGAGACTATTCAAATAATTTTTTTAAATGTTTTTTTTTAAACCTCTGCACTTTTATTTTTTCATTAAATAATTCACTTAAAAATAATTTACTTTTATATTGTGTTCATTTACTTGACATTTGAAAATGAGCCTTTTAGAAGTTTTTATTGATGGTTACTGTTCTAGATCAATGCTGTGTGATAGAAATATAAGCGAGCCAAATATATATATACATATATATTTTTTTAATTCTAGTAGTCACGTTAGAAAAAGTAAGAAAGAAGGATGAAGTGAAATTAATTTTAGTATTTTAAACCCTATGTGTCCATAATATTATTATTTCAACATATAATCAATATTAAAAACTATTAATGAAATATTTTGCAATCTTTGTACATTCTTCAAAATCCAATGTGTATTTTATACTTTACAGAGTATTTTTATCTGGGCAAGTAACATCTCAAGTGCTTAATAGTCACACTTAGATAGTGCCTACTATATTGTTTTAGTATAGATTTAGACACTAAGATCTTTATATATATATATTGCATCATTTAACTCAAAACAGACATTCACTTGTATACTTTTACATTTTTCTGGATTAGTTAATTGTGATTTAGATAGATTAAATTACTTTCCCAACGTAACCACATAGCTACTTATTGGCCCAGCTACTATTCACAATCATATCTGCCTTGCTCCAAAGAATGCCTTTTCCATGATGTTTTTTAAGGTATCTTTTTAATATACCTATTAGTGTAGTAAAAAAATTTATATGGAAACAGCTTTGTTCTTGCCACAGAGATTCCTAATCTTACTGTTTTGAAGCTGTAAACCTCATATGTATTTTAAATCCCTTGTGCATCCCTTTCTGATTCTAATCCCTCCTCATCCACAAGGAGAACCGATACCCTGAATTTGGTATTTATTAGTCTCATATACTGTAATGCTTTTACCATATATGTAGGTGTCCATAAATATATGTAATATTTTAATGTATTTAAACTATGTATAAATTGATATACATCTGTTTCTATTTGGTCTGCTCAGATATGTTGATTCTTATAGCTGTACTTCATTTTGACTCTGGTATAGTATTTCCTTGTATGAGTTTTACACAACTTATTTACCTGTTTTCGTGGTTGACAAACATTTAGGTTGTTCATACAAATTATGAATAGGTTTTTTTTGTTGTTTGTTTGGTTGGTTTTGTTGTTGTTTTTTAATCCTTAATGCCCATTATCCATTTTTTTTTTTTAAAGATTTTATTTATTTTTTAGAGAGCTAGTGAGAGAGAAACAGTATGAGAGGGGAGAGGGTCAGAGGGAGAAGCAGGCTCCCCGCTGAGCCGGGAGCCTGATGTGGGACTCGATCCCAGGACCCTGGGATCATGACCTGAACCGAAGGCAGATGCTTAACCATCTGAGCCACCCAGGCGCCCCTGCCCATTATCCATTTACCCCATCCCCCACCCACCTCCCCTCAGTTTGTTCCCTTTTGTCAAGAGGTCTTTTTTAAGAGTTTCTCTGTAATGCATCCAGAACTGGAAATACTAGGTTAAAGGGCATATACATCTCTAACTTTGTTAAGGTTATTGCAGAATTGTTTTCCAAAATGATCATAATCTGCATTTGCATCATTGTATTCTCACTCACACTTTGTATGGTGACACTTTTTAATTTTTGCTACTCGTTTTTGAAATTTTAATTTGCATTTTCCTAATTACTCCTGAGTTAGTTTCTTCAGTAAAAAACCTATTCCCTTCCTTTGTCTGTCCTCTTTTGGGTTGTCTTTTTCTTACTGATTTGTGGGAGTTCCTTCAATATTCAGGACACTAATTTGTTGATTATATGAAATACAAATGTCTTCTTCAGTATTTATAATTTGCCTTTAAATTTTGTATATGGTATCTTTAATTAGAGTTTTAAATTTGAATTTAATCAAATTTCTGCCTTTGTCTTTATTTATATCCTAAGTGTCTTGTTTAAGGAGATCCCCCAACTCTGAGGTCATAAACATATTCCTTTATATTTTCTTTAAACATTTATACTTTGCTTTTCCTATTTCTACTTTTAATTCACTTGGGATTTATCTGTACATAAGTGTGTATGAGAGAGGAGAGAGAGAAAGAGAAGGTGTGGATTTAATTTTTTCCCCTTATTTATAACAGTACTTTTAAGTTCTTATTACTGATGTATCTCAAGCAATAAGAAAGGAAAGCAACTCTGTACTTTCCCCACTTATTTGTAATTTCCTATGCCATATATTTTCATATCCATGAGTCTGTTTCTGAAGACCATCTTTATATTTCTTCACACGTTTCCATGTAAAAAGGTTTCTGTGGGATAGGACATTCCAGCAGATGTGGAATATGATTCATTAGGTTATACAGGAAGAAAATACCAGAATTTCTATTTGCTTTTAATTTATGTCACCCTTTAATTTCTATTTATGCATATGTTTAAAAATTACTATAGAATGTAGTAGAGTATGTATAATTTAATACTAATATATCTGTAGAAGATTAAAGAATACTGCTCTGTAATGTATTATGTCCTTTTTGTAAACTGCTTTGAAATTCAGTGATTGTGTGGCAGAGATTTTTATTTTTATTAGTTGTGCAAATGTTAATTGAAGCAGCTATTAGTTAAAGCTATTATTTCTGTTTAACAATAGATTATAATTTAACAAAAGATATTGGAAAATATCTAAAGAAATTTAGGGGCCAAGGATAAAAAATTTTATTATGAGGAAATTTTTCTTTGGCAATTATATATGATGTGGTTGCTAAGACCATATTACCTAGACAGTGAGGCACCATTGTCTTAGGTAGTATGCTAGTGTTAGGAAAACTTGCATAGTAGTAATAAGACATGAACAAAGGTTATAACAGTAAAAAGATAAAGAAGATGGAATTGACAGGATTTAGATGGGGCACTTGAGGGAGACACTAATATTAGAAATATATGAGACAGGGGCGCCTGGGTGGCTCAGTGGTTAAGCGTCTGCCTTCGGCTCAGGTCATGATCGCAGGGTCCTGGGATCGAGTCCCACATCGGGCTCCCCGCTCTGCGGGAAGCCTGCTTCTCCCTCTCCCACTCCCCCTGCTTGTGTTCCTGCTCTCGCTGTGTCTCTCTCTGTCAAATAAATAAATAAAATCTTAAAAAAAAAAGATTTAAAAAAAAAAATTAAAAAAAAAATATATGAGACAGCCATCAAAGATGATAGGTTATCCTTCTAAATCTTCTAAGTCTCTTTTTTATTTTAGGAATTATTGAAGCACTTTACAGATACTATCAGAATGCGGCCACAGATGTGAGGCGCGTGTGGCTTTCCACAGGGGTGGATCACTTTCATTCATCTTTTGGTGACAAAGGTTGGGGTTGTGGTTACCGAAATTTCCAGATGCTACTTTCATCATTACTGCAAAATGATGCTTATGACGATTGCTTGAAAGGTATGTGAAATACAGTTCTCTGAACGTGTCCACTGATATGTAGTTGGCCCTTGAAAAACATGAGTTTGCACTGCATATACGTGGGTTTTTACAGTCTAATATTGTAAATATATTTTCCTTATGATTTTTTCCTTATGATTTTCTTTGTTCTAGCTTTATTATAAGAATACAGTATATAATATGTATAACATATAAAATATGTGTTAATCAACTGTTCGTTTTATGTTTATTGGTAAGGCTCCCGGTCAACAGTAGGTTATTAGTAGTGAAGTTTTTGGGGAGCAAAAAGTTATATGCAGATTTTCAACTGTGCAGGCTATCAGTGCCCCTAACCTCCCTGTATTGCTCAAGGATCAACTGTACATACAATATGGAATGAATTAATATATAGTACTTTAGTAACTATCATGTAACATGTTTGCTTGTATTATTTTAGGTATGTCAATTCCTTGCATTCCAAAAATTCAGTCTATGATTGAAGATGCGTGGAAGGAGGGTTTTGATCCTCAGGGTGCCTCTCAACTTAATAACAGGTTACAGGGAACAAAGGCCTGGATCGGAGCATGTGAAGTATATACACTTCTGACCTCCCTAAGGGTAAAGTATGTACCTGAAAACCCAAGTTAAGGTTATTGTCATACCTGGGAGGTTTTCTTTGTTGTTGTTTTTTTCTTTTATCAAAGGACAGTTAAAAAATAAAATTTAAGTGGCACTGAAAGGCTTATAAAAACCAGCAATTCAGTCCCTATCTTATGTTCTTCTCTCTTCTCAAGTCTGATTTCTCAGACGCAGCTGTTACGTCCATTGTTTCTGAATAATATGCTTTCAGGGCTTTTTTTTTTTTTCTTTTCTTTTTTTGGTTAATCAGTTTTAGACATTGTTGCATTTCCCTCACATTTCTTACCTGTGTTCACCCTCAATCCTTTTATTTTGGTTAATAATTAATAATTGTATTAATATTATTCATTTCTGATTTTATTTCCTTTCCTGAAAAGCTTTTAAAAATTTTCCTTGAGTTAAGAATTGTCTTTTCTTTTCCTTTTTACTATTTGACTGCATCATGGTCTCAAACTTTTTCACAACCTCCACTTATGTAATCTGAGGCACTCCTATTCCTGGACACTTCTTCCATGAAGCCCTCCATTGTCTTTGCTCTAGTCTCCTAGATTCCCTTCAAAGCTGTAATCATGTAACATTTCTTCATTGTTTTCTTGAAGTAGAGCCAGGACTTTTTTCTGGATTCCATGTCTTTATCTTTTTTGGATTGCTTTTCTACTTAAACACATCTTTCATTAGCTTCCTAAGAAAAGGTGCCTAGTCCTTATTACTTAAAATAGTTTGGGTGGCTGTGTTATTCTAAACTCAAAATCATTTTCAGATCAAATTAAGTTCTTACTCTGTTGACTTCTAGCAATCAGTGTTACTATTGAGAAGGTAAGATGTTATCTGATTTTCATTCCTTTTATGTGTAACCTATTTATTTTGTCTGGAAGTTTTTTGCATCATCTCTTAGTCCTGCTATTATGAAATTTCACCATGAATGTGGGGCTTTGATTCATTGTATTAGGCATTTGTTTTTCCTTTTGAATCTAGAATTGTGAATTGTAAGATCTCAGTATAGTGGTTAAGAGCTTGGACTTTGGAGTCAGACTGCCTACAGTTGATTCTAGTTTCCTGCTTATTGGCTGGCTGTATGACTTAATTTGTCTGCAGCCTAGTCCCACCATTGATAAAAAGAACATGTAAATAGTAACTGCTTCATAGAGTTGCAGTGATATTAAGTGAGATGATCAAGTGCTTAGAACTGTGACTGGCATGTAATAAGAGCTCAGAGTTAACTGATAATTACGATTCCTCCATTTTCTTTATTCTTCTTTCTGGAACTTCTGGTAGTTGGCCACTGAACTCCTTTGACTTTTTAAGTTTATTGGTCATGTTTCATTTTTTATCTTTGCTTTTTGTTTTACTGTGTAGATTTTCTCAGCTTTATCTCCCAACTATTCTATTGAAATTTGTATCTTAGCAATCATGTTTTTAATTTTAAGGGGCAATTTCATAGCATCATAGTCTGTTATGGTTGCAAATTTTTTCCCAACATTTTCTTTCTATTCCTTGAATTTGTGGGTTTTTTCCATGTTAATTTGTTTTCACTCTATTTATTTTAGTCTTTTGCATTTTGAAGGCTTTCTTCGAACTTTTGTAAATCCCTAGTTGTCCATTCCTAAAGTGAGGATGAGGCACTAAAAGATCAGAGGTCCTATAGGATTACATGGAGCTTGCATATGAGCAGACTTCATTTATAGAATTTTAGGGGAAGCTTTCTGTTTGTTTGGGGAACTCTGAAAATTTTAATATAGGAAGAGATCTTTTCTAGGGGCCATTCAGAGAATTCTCCACTCTCCTGACTAGAGCTCCTGCATTGATGGAGGGGGTAGTTAAGCAGTGATTTGCCTTCTTTATGCAAATTTTCAATTCATTTCACATTATACCCCCATTACTACTCTCCCCAATACCTAGTGCCTCTAAGCTTCCAGCCTCTCTGGGATTTTAAGACAATTGTCTGGTTTTTTTTCATTCACTTTTATGTTTCCTTTCTGCTTTTCATTTTCCAAAAGTGCAGAGCAGTTTGGTCTGTCTCCATTCTCTTTGTCTTTGGCTGTTTGAATCATTTTCTCCTTCAGTATTATGTTGTTGGGCTTTCAAGAGGGAACAGAGATAGATGCTTATGATCATCTTTAATGGAAAGTTTGCCTTTAAACTTCATAGTTCTGTGTTTTCCTTTATGTTTGTTTCACATCATTTTTACCATATTAATTAATTAGATTCAGAGGTGAAACTATTTCTTAACTTTTAAATAGAAAAACTTTGGTGGTGCCTGGGTGGCTCAGTTGATGAAGCATCCAACTCTGGATTTCAGCTCACATCATGATCTCTAAATCCAAAGGACTATTTTAATGTCCTCTAACTTTATTTTTTCTTCTTGCCAGTCTGTTCACACTTTCAGATTACATATATTATATCATATACTAAGTTTTCAAGTCATGTTTAAGGGAAGGAAGATATCTGTCTAAAATACCTGATACATCCAGCTGTTTTCTTGGTGCCTGAAATAGTTTAATTTTTTAGTAAAACCTCTTTAATACTATGCTCTGAATTTTTTTACTACTTGTTTAAATGTCTTCCTTTCGCTGTCTATGAATTATATTCTGTAGGGTACTATTCAGATTCTAAATCTAAATATGCAATCAATTTCAAACCCAAAAGTACTATAGCTACTTTTTTAACAATTTATCCAGAAGTTCATTTCAGCATTTAAAACTCAGTAGTAATCAGTTGAATGTTAGCCTCAACACTAAACTTCCTGAGGCTAAGGATAGCAACCATTATAATTTTGGTGTATATGGAGACTTTGTTAAGAGAGACAAGGAAGGACAGGATATCTGTCCTATACTTTAAAGTGACAGAAAAGCTTTTAGTTGCTTTTGCTTATAACCGAACTTTTATTATTTTTTTAAAGATTTTATTTATGAGAGAGAGAGAAAGAGCACATGCACAAAAGTGGGGGAGGGGCAGAGGGAGAGAGAGAATATCAAGCAGACTCTTTGCTCGGTGGGGAGCCTGACATGGGGCTGGATCCCACAACCCTGAGATCATGACCTGAGCAGAAATCAAGAGTTAGGCCCTTATCCCACTGAGCCACTCAGGCACCGCTTGCTTCTACCCGACCTATTAAAAATAGTTGCTGGGAAGTGTCAGTAGTGCTTCTGGTTAAAATAATTTCATTAATTCAAGGCTGACTTCCTCTTGAGGAAGGAATACCACTGTGATCTAGTGCCAAATAGTGAATAGACAGATGTATATATGAGAGGAGTACATACAGGGTTTTTCTGAGACCTTTGCAGGTATTCTTTTCTTGTCTGTTACTGGAATTTGTGAGAGCCAAGAGGAAAAATAGTCAGGATATTTTTGATAGATGTGAATGGCTATTGCGGAATTAAAATTAGAAGTCAGCTTCTAATTGATCATCAGGTTTAGAGACTTTAGAATGAAAGTTGTGTCTCAGATTACATGTAGATGACTTTTAAAAAACCAAGTATGGGGGCGCCTGGGTGGCTCAGTCTTTAAGCGACTGCCTTCGGCTCAGGTCCTGATCCCTGGGTACTGGGATCGAGCCCCGCATCGGGGTCTCTGCTCAGCGGGAAGCCTGCTTCTCCCTCTCCCACCCCCCTGCTTGTGTTGCCTCTCTCGCTGTGTCTCTCTGTCAAATAAATAAATAAAATCTTAAAAAAAAAAAAAGTATGGTCCTTATTTACTCTTCATAGAGATTTTGTATGTCAGAAAATGTAACTTTTAGGGCTCCTGGGTGGCTCAGTTGGTTAAGCGACTGCCTTCGGCTCAGGTCATGATCCTGGAGTCCTGGGATCAAGTCCCACATCGGGCTCCCAGCTCAACAGGGAACCTGCTTCTCCCTCTGAATGTCTCCCCGCTGTTTCTCTCTCTCTCTCTCTCTCAAATAAATAAATAAAATCTTTTAAAGAAAAGAAAATGTAACTTTTATATCAGTCATCAATCTTATTAAATCTTATTTAGATAATTATTTCTTCATAAAATGACATTTTTCCAGATACATAATGAAACTTGTATTTATTTTCTTCTTAGGAAAATATTGATGAGATAGAATTAGTTCTAAATTAAAATTTTTTTGTATTTGATAACTCCATTGGTGAACATGTTTTAAAAACTATTTTCCAAACCATTTTGTCAATTTTTTAATAGATGCCGCATTGTTGATTTTCATAAGTCAACTGGTCCTTTGGGTACACATCCTCGTTTATTTGAATGGATATTGAACTATTATTCTTCAGAGAGAGAAGGGAGTCCAAAAGTAGTGTGTACATCTAAACCTCCAATCTATCTTCAGCATCAAGGTTGGTATAACTCATAGATGATAAGTATAGCTTATACCTTTAGAGGATAACTAATTGACTTTTGCTTGAGGACAGATTAAGATTCAGATAATAGGGAAGAGGGGAGTATTGTGACGTTAGTCTGATTTTCAGAGCTACATTGTCATTATGGTACTTTCCTGGGTATTGAAGGGTGCTATCCCTTGTATATTTCAGGGCCACCTGGTTCACTTTCTTGTTCATCCCTTACTTCTTTATTTTTTAGGTCTCCATCTATGTCACTTCAGTGAGGCCTTCCCCTATCACCTTATTTAAAATTCCATCTTGTTATCAACCCCTCACCACTGGCATTTTCTGTCTCTCTTCCCTGCTTTATTTTTTTGCATCTAGCATAATAATATGCTTAATTACTTACCTTGTTTATAGGGTATTCCTTCCTTTTAGAGTGAAAACTCCATGAAGACAGGAATGTTTGCTTCTGTATAACTAACTGCCTGGAATAGTGCCTGACACATGGATACTTGATAAACTTTGTTGAATGGATGATTTGAATCAACAGGAATAGGAGCAGTAAATGTTGGGAATTTTGTCATTTAGGAATACAAGCTGTAAAGGTTAAACCCTCCCCATTGAAATTCTAGTATATATAAATTTACTTTTGTTATCTTTTGGATTCATGAGAAATTTTGTTCTGTGGTAGATAATTTTCAGATGCTTTCATGCATTTGAAATAATGCATTTGAAATAATTTGGATAAGAAGAATCAAGGGATTAAGAAAGAAGAACTAAAATAATATGGCACAATAGACATAAAATTTTTTGCATTGAAGCCTTTAAGAAAAGAAAAATTGAACAAATGAAAACTGAAGGTTAGGAAATAGAACTAAAACTATTTGTGTCTTCAGAGTGAGAGTACCTGTCAGAGGGACTGACTTTATTTCTGTTCTAAACACACATGTGCACACACTGCATACAGAGAATATATATATAGTGTGTGTGTATTTAATAACATGTCTATATGTATAGCAATAGACAGGAGACACACACAGGTTTTTGTTTTTTTTTTGATAGGTCATAGTCGAACAGTTGTTGGAATTGAAGAGAGAAAAAACCGAACATTATGTTTACTAATATTTGATCCTGGATGTCCTTCTCGAGAAATGCAGAAACTGTTAAAGCAAGACATGGAGGCTAGCAATCTCAAGCAACTTCGGAAATTTGTGGGAAATTTAAAACATAAGCAATACCAGATAGTGGCAGTAGAGGGTGCTCTTTCTTCAGAGGAGAAAGTTGTAAGTATCTACATATTTGGTTATGTGAAGCTTGAACCAGTTGAACTTACAAATTTAAAGTTTTTAGTTAGAATCAATGTTAATCCCTTTGTATCTCATTCTGCATTATTTTGGTTTTAATTTCTGGAGTGGACATCTTTGAATTTCAAATGCTACCTAATGACTTTGAAATACTTTAATCAGAGCTTCATAAAAATATTTACTCTTATATAATTGTTAATAACATATATGGTAAAGAAAACCTCACTTAATCCCCGGAGACCTAACGCATATTGGTTTTAATAATTATGGTTTATTAAGTGTGATTCTTGTAATTATTGAGACTCCATCTTATGCATTTGGGGTTACTGGATATACACAGTTCTAGAATTTAAGTTCAGTACAGTTGCCTCTTTATCCCTTACAGTTAAGTGGTGACTGGTATGTTCATAAGAATTTCTAGGGATTGAAAAGCCTCCACTTGGTATAAACTGAAGCTATGTAATGGCATATCAAGTCTAGAAAATGCACAGTTCCCAGAATCTTAAAAGAAAAAAAATGTCCCTATTAGACTACTCCACATGATTTGTTTCTCTCTGAGGAGAAAAGAGAGGACTAGAGAGGAGCATTTATGAAGAGTAACAGCATTACAGGGGAAAGCACTAAAATTACTTGAAATGAGAGAACTAGAGTTCATCTTTTCAGCCTCACAACTTGGAATATAAAGGCAAAGATTGTTTCAGAGGTTCTTCAATTTAATTATATCTCAAAGGTTTCTTTGCCATGACATAAATGCCAAAATTGCATTCATTTTTTCACCCTATCATTAATTTGGCTGCATAAAGTTAAGAGATTAATTTTATTTATTTATTTATTTATTTATTTATTTATTTATTTATTTATTTATTTATTCTTGACTTTTAAAAAGACATATTTTTATTTTATTTTTCAAAAGATTTTATTTGACAGAGCACGCATGCACACACAAGCAGGGTGTGGGAGAGGGAGAAGTAAGCTCCCCGTTGGGCAGGGAGCCCCAGAACCCTGGGATCATGACCCAAGAGGAAGGCAGATGCTTAACTGACTAAGCCACCCAGGTGCCCCTATATTTTTATTTTATTTTATTTTATTTTATTTTTAAAGATTTTATTTATTTGTCAGAGAGAGAGCACACCAGGGGGAGTAGCAGGCAGAGGGAGAAGCAGGCTCCCCGCTGAGCAAGGAGCTCAATATGGGACTTAATCCCAGGACACTGGGATCATGCATGACCTGAGCCGAAGGCAGATGTTTAACCAACTGAGCCATCCAAGTGTCCCTGTATTTTTATTGTACTTCCAGTGTTGTTAACATACAATATTATATTGGTTTCAGGTGTACAATACAGCGATTCAGCAATTCTATACATTACTCAGTTAAGTGTGCTCTTAATCCCCTTTACCTAGTTCACCCATCCCCGCACCCACCTCCCCTCTTGTAGCCATCTGTTCTCTATAGTTAAGAGTCTGTTTTTTGTTTGTTAGAGGTTAGTGTTAATAGTTATAAATACCAAGATGCTTGTTCATCAACAGAGCATAGGTGAGGTTAAATATTATCATGGAGCCTAGCTGAACATTTTAGTTGTTAACTTTCTGGTTTTAGAAACTGAGACATTGGTGTTAGAATACTAAAAATGTGCATTTGCTACTGTTCTTCTTCTTTTTTTTTTTTTTTTTGAGTCATGGAGAGTAGCTGTGTCTTTAACCAAAAAAATCAGAACTTGGCTGACTGTGTACAATGCCGCCAGATAGAGAAGAAATAATAATATGATTATAATTGTGATATTGATAAAGTAATACTTTATAATGCTTGCTTTGTGCTAGGCACCATCCTAAGCATTTTACACAAATATTAACTAATGTAATCTACACAACTGCCCCATGGAGTAGTCACTATTATTCCCATTTTACAGAGGAGGATGCCTAAGCTCAAAAAAGTTGTATCCTATTTCTAAAGTCACACAGCTGCTAAGTAACAAGAGGCAGGATTCCAATTCAGTCTGTTTACATCCAGAGCCCTTCTCTATATTGCTTCTTCTGGGAGGATACAAAGTCTCATCATTTCATGTTTGCTAATTAAGCTTGTATGTGAACAATTCACTTTTATTGAAAAGATAGGACAATATATTTTGAAAAATGAAAAATCATCAGTTAACATTGTTTTCGCATATTGCTTTCAGGCTTAGGTTTTTGTTTTTTCCTTTTTTTAAAAAAAATCACTGTGTCTTATAGTTATTCTGCCATTTTTAACAGTGCTTGTATACATTATAGGAATTCAGCAAATACTGATGTACTGATTGATCTGCATATCACCAGATAGAAACCTGTGTCTTTTACTAAGGGCACATTAATGACTTTACTTTTTATTTCAGGGTGATTGTTTTTTTATAGCTCATTTTAAAATGTCTTTTTCCTCCTAAGTGATAGCTATAATTTTAATTGTAGGAATTTCAGAACAAATTTGGTATTTTAAAGTATCCCAAAATGTAGATACTTGTAACTGCATTTTATGTTTTGTTCTTCATATTTGGAGTTAATTATAATATTTTAATCATGCAGCTCTTATTCAAGGAGAGGAATCGGGTTTCAAAAAATTGTTTTTATCCTGACAACTGTCCTATAATTACCATAATACATTTCTGCCATAAATACATTTTGAGTATCTAATAATTCCAAACTGTTGTATATGTTTGAACACTTGTTTAGGTGAAAGGATTTATGTTGGAAAATATCTCCTAATGCAATTCACTTAAGTAACGCATACAAACCTATTTAATAGCCATTTTCCTCAATTCTTTTCATACGTTGACATGTTGTAGTTAAATTCTGTCACTGCATTCTTTGTTTTCCATTATGTAATCTTGATTTAACTTTGTTTTAAATTAGTTTGGTATAATATACCTTGATTTGTAACTCAAGTTGTGAAAATAGAACAAATGTTTAAAAGGTCTTTTAGGGGCACCTGGGTGCCTCAGACGGTTAATCATCTGCCTTCAGTTCAGATCATGATCTCAGGATCCTAGGATCCAGCCCCCTTAGGCTCCCTGCTCAGAGGGGAATCTGCTTCTCCCTCTCCCTGTTCCCCCTGCTTGTGCTCTCTCTCTCTCAAATAAATGAATAAAAATCTTAAAAAAAAAAAAAAGTCTTTTAAAGTGACATTTTTAAGACCATAATGAAGGAGATAATTTTCTTAAAGGTTCTCTGCTCACTGCTCTATCTCTCCTTCTCTGTATTTATACATGTCTCTCTATGACTGTGATCCATCATTTTTACTTTTGACTCATTATTCCTTAAAACAATGAATTTTCTTTTTACTTTGTTTTGTGTTTATCTGGTATTTTGTTTAATTTTTTTCTTTTTTTTTTTTGGTTTGGCTTTAGAAATGTTTATTCCTGGGATGCCTGGGTGGCTCAGTCAGTTAAGCACCTGACTCAATCTCAGCTCAGGTCTTGATCTCAGAGTCTGTAGTTCAAGCCCCACGTCAGGCTCCACTCTGGGTCTGGAGCCTACTTAAAAAAAAAAAAAAAGTTTATTTCTAATTTCCTAAGTTTGAAGTTGTAATTTTTCTTAAGGAATTTTCATTACCTTGAAAAAATTTCTAGATTTTAGTTTTTATATTAGATGATTAATATATATTCTAATAATGGACTTATTGCTTAAAATTAACAGTTCTTTAAAATTCCTTTTCAAGGCCAGGAGACAAGCTTCTCAAGTTTTCACAGCCGAGAAGATTCCTTGAAGAATTAAGCATTTCAGTGATAATGGAATTTTACTTTATTTTCCAAATTCAGATATTAAGGTCCCTAATACAGCTTACGAATCTGAATTCCTTACCCAACTTACAATTTAATTTCTAAAACATCTAAATCACACCTCGTGTACCTCATTCTTTAGTAACTATTTCAATAAACAATTTTGTTTGCATTATGAGTTCTGTATTTCCTCTCTATGTGTTAGAAACTGGTTTTGTATGCTAATCATATGTAATATTTATTGGGTCCTTGTGTTAAGTATTCTTAGTATTTTCCATGTATTAATTACTGTAATCTTCAATTCTGTGAGACAAATTCTGTTAGTCCTGTAAGGAAGCTGAAGCTCTGCAAAGTTTGTAATTTGCCCAAGAAAATGATTGTAATCCAGGGTGTGAACCCAGGCTGTCTCACTTCCAAGCTCTTACATTTGGGTATTCTGCTTTCTTTTGTTATAAAACATATATAATGAAATTCCCTCCTCCTCACTTAGAAATTACCTTAATATTTAACAGGTATAGCTCTAAAAAGAGGGATTTGCTTTTGTTAAATATTTATACCCTTACCCATACAACTGTGAATTAGAACTTTGGGTTTAACATGTCCTGTAGGAAAGAAACTTTCAGATTCATGTTGGATGTGTCAAGTAAGATTGCAGGCAGGAATCCTACTTAAGCCAATTTGAGCAGAAGGGAATTCACTGAAAGATTATCAGAAGCTCAGAGAATACACCAGTAACTAGGAAACTGTGCTGGAACAAAGGCAATTCTAGAGGCTAGAATGTGATCTGATTCATAGCGGAACTACCAGGTTAGGAGCCGAGGTCGGATGTCTCTGCTCAAAATTCACATTCTAGAAAGGCCACATCTGATTGGCATGAGACTTTGCCATGGGACAGAGGCAGTTTCTCAAAAGGAAATCAGAGTAGATAAGGAAATGGATATTATACAACAACAACAAAAAAGCAACACGAAAAAGGAAGAACATACTTGAATACAGTTTTATGAATATTAGCTACTCCATCAAATAGTAAAAGCTGCACTCCAAGAATGAATAATATTGCCAATTAGAAAATTCTGGAAACCATCTTTCCTAATACTCTGTCCCTCAGACAGGTAACCAGGTTTCTACTTTATCTTGTTTCAAGCCACCATTACCTTTTATCTAGATAATGTAATAATCTCGTAACTGGTCTCCCTGTCTTGATCCTCTGTCAGTCTTCCACGTGTAAACCAAATGTTTTGAAATACAGATGTGATTTTGTGACTTCCTAGTTGAGTCTTCTTCATTGCTCCTGGATAAAGTCCAGACATTCCACACAACCTGGGCCTTGCTTACCTCTCCAGGCGCATCTCTCACCACTCTCAAAGTTCTACTCCTTCCAGCCTAAAATCCTTTGCCGAAAAAACAGTTGATACTGCCTAGGACCCTTCTTGCCATAGTTGTCCACCTCTTGGAAGTGCTTTCTGCAAGGCTTATGTCTGGATTAAATGCACCTTCTAAGTTTTTGATAACAGTGTTTTTCAAAGTGTAGATAGATCAGTGATCTGAGAACTGCCAGTCCTTGACAAAATAATTACAGAAATTAGAATTGCTGTGATATTTTATTTTACAAAAATAATGGCATTGGATTATAATTTTTATTTTTAAATTGGTACTTCACAGACTTTGAGAAACACTGTTCTGTGGTACCCTGTGACATTTTTATCACAATACCTGCTAAGTTGCAATCTGTTCTAATTTTCTATTTCTCTTTTCATATTCCCCTCCTTGAATGGAAGCTCTAAGATTTCAGGAGCAATGTCTACTTTTTAACAGTAGTCTCAGAGTGCCTGGCACATAGAGGACTTAAAAATACTTTTTTAGTGAATGGAAATAATAATTAGTTTTAGAGAAACAGTAGTAGAAAAACTGTAGTCTGAAGTCTTTGGATATCCCAGCTAGCCATCTCTGTGCAGATCATTTTTCCCCAATCAGATCAAACCAATTTCTATAGGATAAAGGAGTCAGACTGAGAACATTTTTTAAGAAGTAACAAGTAAAAGTGTTAAAATTTTGAGTGTTCCCAGCCTTTGAGCAGGTGATAGAATTATAAATCCTGTCCTCAACAAAACAAAAAACAACCCACCCCCCATACAAACATACATACACAATATTTGCATATAGTATCACAGACTGGTTAAAAAAAACATGCTCTGATTCAGGGATTATCAATAATTTTGGTCCCAGCACCCACTGACAAATATTAAAGTCCCCAAGAAGATTTTGTAGATTACATCTTTCCATGTTTGCCATATTAGAAATTAAACCTGAGACTTTTTTTTTTTTTCTTAAAGAATACACATTATTCTATTAGCTATGGCCATTAGAACAGCGATATAAGAACATGTCATTTAGCCTCTGGGAAATCCATCGAGCGTCTTTCTAGAAGTACATATTAGCTATTGCACATACGAAATTCCAAACCTGACATTTTCAAGGAACGACATTTTGCACATGAATAGTTGCCAATTTTATGTAATTCTATACTACATATTATATATGTAAAATCGGGTCCACACACAGTGTATGTGTACCAGTCTCACACAAGACTGGGCTGATACTATTCTTGGTCATAATCTTCCTCATCTTCATCTTCCTCAGTTTCTTCCATTTCTTCAACTGGAAGAGCAGCTGCTTTCTCCTGTATGGCTTTAAAAGCCCGCTCTTCTTCCACACTAGGATCATCCATTTCTGTAATTTCGGCTCCACTGGGGTATTCTTCGTAAACTGGTGGTAGAGCTGGGGGTGTATAGTTGTCTGGACTATATTTATGACCCCAGCCTATGTAGAAATTTTCGAACTTTCTATAAAGTTTGAAAAGAAAGTAGATGATCATTATATCATTTTTCAGTAAGAAAAGTTGATCCTTCTCTTCTGTAAAAGCTGATCACTCTCAGTGTCATAGTCCAGTAATTTTAAAACACTCCATTTGAAGTGCTGGGGATGAACTAGCCCTCAATGATTCTTCTACCACAGGACACTACTGTGATCCAAACTGCTTAAGCTGGTTAAGAGGCTGGCCAGACTCTGTCAAAATGTACCCTACACCTAGACCACCATCTTTAATCATTTAACTGCTATTTTCAGGAAAAACAAAACAACTAAGTTAAAAAGTTACTAATCCTCTTTAGAGTTAGGAAGACTTAAAAACTTGCCAACCTAGCAAATTGTTGGTATGGCGGAGGATGCTTGTGATTGGTTACAAACCTGTGTGTGGTGTTTCAGGCCCACCCAATATGCAGTTGTTAGGCTTTATCTGGCAGGCCTTGCGGGAAAACTGCTGTTTCCATGTCAAACTCAATGCACTGGCTAGTGCATTGCAGTCTCTAAAGGAAAGTTCTAGTCAAGGACTCTGACCCATCCGGCCTGCCATGCTCTTTGCATAGTTGAGTTCCTAGCACAGCTGCCTTCACTCTACTAGGTCTTATCGGAGGCCTTCAGCAAAGGTCTTCAGGTGCCTCTGCCAAGGCCTCCTTATGGGGTTGCAGAAGGGGGGCACCTTAAAGACACTTCTCTCTACTCTGACTCAGTACTCGGTACTTTTTCACTTCTAGCCCTTCCCCCCACCCTCCACCAGCTCCCTGGGCCCTTGAGGCCATAAAATTGCAGAAGCCTGATACCTGGGGACTCCTCAGTGAGATGACCTCTACATCTACACTGACCCGCCGACCTTCCATCAGTGTGCCATTCCATGAAGGAAAACGGGACAGGAGCAGTCAGAGTTTTCTCTTGCTTATATTGTCACAGTAAATGATCAAAAGCTTAATTCATTTTTGGCTTGTGACTTTAATGGCATCTCTCACATTTGGCCACTCAGCTCTCTCTCCAGCTTAGCTGAGCTTCTGACACTGGGTTCCCAGATGAGAAATGGAAGCACAATACAAATGCAAGTGTATGTTCTGGGTGAGGGATAAAAGGACACTGAGTATCGGGGCGCCTGGGTGGCTCAGTCATTAAGCGTCTGCCTTCGGCTCAGGTCATGATCCCGGGGTCCTGGGATCGAGCCCCGCATCAGGCTCCCTGCTCCGCGGGAAGCCTGCCTCTCCCTCTCCTACTCCCCCTGCTTGTGTTCCCTCTCTCGCTGTGTCTCTCTGTGTCAAATAAATAAATAAATAAAATCTTAAAAAAAAAAAAAAAAAAGGACACTGAGTATCCTCTTGATCCTAATTCTCTTGAAAGTGATAGCTAAAATAATACATATTTTAAATTATTTTTCATCAAGATATCCAACAAAAATTATATGAGATTCAAACTAAACAGTGCATAGAACTATCTCCATTAATCCTAGAAAATGAGTAAGTCTATTACTGAAATAATCAGAATAAAAACCATATTAGGACAGAAGTCTGAATTACTCTAGTGTTCTAAATTTGATGCTTTACTATGTAATATAGATGTCACTTGACTGAATCTTACAGCACACACACTTGACATGCCAAGATGAGTTAAAACAAGAGTAACCCCCTTCCTCCTTCCTGAGCATTCCTGCCACCAGCCTTGGCTCCAGAAACAGACACCACTGAGAAAATCACTCCAGTGAGAAAATAGCTTCACAGATTGTGGTGGTGTAGGTTCCCTGGGAGTGGTCAACTCGGCAACAGGAAGAAGCTCGTCGTAGGCAGTGACATTGTAACCGCTATGGAATCTGCGGACTTCATCATCTGCCTCCAGCCTCTTGCTCTCTCTTTATCTCAGCCCCATTTCGTAAGCTGTGAAATGGAGGACCTCTCTCCCCAGAGTTGTGATAAGAATTCATGGGGAAGATGTAAGTACAAGTGCTGAACGTGACATCTGGCTCATGGCCTGGACCTTCCTAGGTATCCCTCCTCCCGACCCCTTACTCTGGGTAGACTGCCCCATACTCTTTTTTCCCCC